TAATTTATAATATATATAGTGTTTTATATAATTATGCAACATATTTAAAATATGTATTTTGTAGAAATACGTACACTACATAAATACTATATATGGTAGCATATATGCCATTATAAATTATCCGTGTCTGTTTATATTATATATTTTCTGGTTCTATTTATGTTCACCTAGAAATATAATATGTGTCTATATAATTAATGAAATATAAATTTATTAATATTATAGTAATATATTCATTATATATATTTATATACACTATATACATATATAGTGTATATATACATGTATATATTATGTACAATATACAAAGGTATATACAAATATTTATATATATTTTATATATTTATCTATTTAATGTATATTAAATAGATAATTAATACATCACATATATACATATAAAGTATATATTATGTATAATACACAAAAGTATATAAATATATAATAAAGATATAACATATGCTATATACTATATAAAATCTATGTACATATGTATTTTCTGGATTTATATCCATTTAATATGTTATACATTATTTTATAATATATAATTCTATATATAATATCTGATATATGATATATAATGATATTACATATTATATATATTATATATTATGCTACATAATATATGTAATATACTTATTTATAATACAGAATACATATCATATGTATTATGTAAATATTATGTAATATATATGCTATATATGTATCATTATGTAATTATATTTACTTTTATATTTTATCTATTATAATATGTATTATATATTTTATAGTTATATATTATTATATAATTATTTATCCTAGTCCATACCATACATACTCTATGCTCTATAAAATATTACATTATATCCTTTTTACGTGTTATACACAATATACAGTGTATAGCAATAGCCAGTGATAAATTTTCCCGGATTTATGGATGGTTTTCTATGTTCTGCCCATGCTCCAATCCCTGTTTCTCCTGTGTTTTGTCCCCAGGTGCCGCGGGAGCAGCCGGAGGCTCGGGATGAGTCCCTGCGGCTCTCGGCGGGGCTGGATCGGTCCCTGGGCAAAGCCGAGCGGGAATTGGCCGAGGCTCGGACGCGCATCCGGGACCTGCGGGTGGGTCACCCTGCCCTGGAACAGCCCCATCCCAGGCCTTGGGGCAGGACGGGCTGGGCGGCTCCTTAGGGAGCTCATCCCGGCGGGAAGGATGCTGGGGGTGGCACTGGGCTCATCCCAATTTGGGAAGGATGCTGGGGGTGGCACTGGGATGGCACTGGTCTTGTTTTTGGGGTGCTTCTCAGTTTACATGGATGCTGGGGCTGGCACTGGGAGGGAGCTGGGCTCGTTCCAGCTTGAAAGGAGGTGTTGGTGCTTGTACTGGGATGAGGGTGGGTTCATCCCAGCTGGAAGGAAGGTGCTGGTTGGTACTGGTTGGGAGTTTGCTGAGCAGCTTTTGGGGCTCATCTGTTCCCGGTGGGATGCTGGTGCTTGTACTGGGATGGGGGTGTTTATGGGGCACTTCCCAGCTCTGGGAGACACTGGAGCTGGTACTGGAATGGGGGTGGGCTCTTCCCTGGGCTCATCCCATTTTGGGAAGGTGCTGTGCCTGCCCTGGGGGGGTGCTGGGCTGTGTTTGGGGTGCTGGGCTGTGTTTGGGGTGCCCTGCCCAGTTTTCGGGGTGCTGTCCAGGCGCAGGTGTCGGTGCTGGAGCTCCGCTCTGCTCCCGGTGTGGGATCGTCCCCGGAGCTGCAGCGGGAGCTGGAGCGGCTGCGGATCGGCCCCAGCCTGGAGGAGCAGGTGAGGAGGGACCCCCGGGGGGCACACTGTGCCCTCCTCCCTCCCTCCAACCTCTCCCCATTCCTCGCAGATCGCGCTGCTGAAGGAGCAGGAGCTCCAGCGTCACCCCCCCGGGATTTAGGGATGTCCTGGGATACCCACAGGGACCGGCACGGCCCGTGGATGAGGGGGAATCCGTCCCCATCCCAAATCCACAGCAGACACTGGCACAACTCATCCCAGGGATGTGGGAGATCCTTCCCCATCCCAAAATCCACAGCAGACACTGGCACAACTCATCCCATGGATGAGGGGGATCCATCCCCATCCCAAAATCCACAGCAGGCACTGGCACAACTCATTCCATGGATGAGGTGGATCCATCCCATCCCTGCTCCAAACCCACCACGATTTTTGCCTCAAACAGCTGCACTTTTCCAACGAGACGACCAAACTTGTCTATTTTTGATACAATTCGGGGACTCTTGGACAGTTTCCCCATTTTCCTATTTCTTTTTTTAACAAATATTCCCTGGTTTTACTGCTGGAAGAACCACCTGGTTTATTCCTGGCCCTCCAAGCCCCACCACTCACCACATCCGACTTTTCCCCTTTTTCTAACCCCAAACTCCCTGGATTGGTGGTTTTGAAGGCTTTTTTTAGGAAATAGTAGGATTTTTTAATGGCTATTTTTGGAATTGGGGGGTTTTTACTGGTGCTACTGGGCAGCTCGAGGCTGGAAAACCCACTGGAATCCCCGATCCTTGGCATTCCTGGCACGAATAAACGTGGATAAATCCAAACTTTTACTGGTGCTACTGGGCAGCTCGAGGCTGGAAAACCCACTGGAATCCCCGATCCTTGGCATTCCTGGCACGAATAAACGTGGATAAATCCAAACTGGGAGCTCCGAGGGGATTTTTTTGGGGGGAAGGTGGCGATTTGGGATGTCCAAATGCGGGGCTGGGTGGGGCAACAGGGTTGAGTCGAGTCCTTAAATAATAATAATAATAATAATAATAATAATAATAATAATAATAGAATCAATGATAAGAAGTAGTAATAAATAGCAAGTGATAATAGTAACTGCCCCTACAGATGAGAAATACACCCTATTAGGTGGGAGATGCACCCTGTAAGTGGGAGATACATCATATAAAGGGGAAATGCACCCTACAGAGGGGAAATACACCCTACAGAGGGGAAATGCAACTTCTAGAGGGGAAATTGCCCCTACAGATGACAGAGAGACTCCCTATAAACTGGACACACAGTCCCTCCGATACAAGTCCTGTAGGAGATACTCACTGTGTATGAGAGCAGCTCACTCAGCAGTGTCCCAGAGCTGCACCCTACAGAGGGGACAGAGCAGGGGTCCTGTGGGTGACACACACCCCCCACAGAGCAGAGACACACACTGGGTGCCAGAGACCCTACAGAGACACCTGGCAGCCTACAGAGGAGAGAAACACCCTAGAGAGGAGAGAAACACCCCATGGACAAGACATGTGGGCTGCAGAGGAGAGAGACAACCTGTCAGCAAGAGGGAAACACTGTATATGAGACACACCCTATAGACAAGAGCTGCACCCCACACACAAGGGGGACAGGCTGTGGACTAAAGGCACACCCTACAGACAAAGAGATCCAAGATATAGGAGAGCTGCACCCTACAGAAAAGGGACACAGGCTGTGTGGAAGTGATACACCCTATATATATGAGATACACCCTATATATGTGAGATACACCCTATATATGTGAGATACACCCTATACATGTGAGATACACCCTATATGTGTGATACACCCTATATGTGTGATACACCCTATATATGTGTGATACACCCTATACATGTGTGATACACCCTATATATATAAGATACACCCTATATGTGTGAGATACACCCTATATAGGTGAGATACACCCTATATGTGTGAGATGCACCCTATGTATGTGTGATACACCCTATATGTGTCAGATACACCCTATACGATTTCCTATAAGGACCTGCAGAAACTCCCCACACACACCCCCCAAACCCCCCCCAGCTCACCCTGTTTCCTAGATGGAAATCACCCCCCAACTTCCCCCTTCTCTAGGGGACCTGAGACCCCAGGAGAGACCCACCCACGGTGCTTTCTGTAGGGGAACCATCCCAACCCCATCCCAACTCCAACCCCAAACCCCCTTCATCATCCAGAACTCCCAGAACTGACCCCAAACAGGTTTATCCTGTGCTCTTTCTGTAAGACCCCCCCCCAAATCAAGACCACTCCAGATCACCCCCCCACATTGCCCCCCAGCTCCATATCCCCCCAAACCATCCCAAAATAACCATTTAACACCCCTCAAAACCCTTTGTTGTCTATAACTCCCAGTACTGACCCCAAACAGGTTTATCCTGTGCTCTTTCTGTAAGACCCCCTCCAATTAAGACCCCCCCAATTACTCCCCCACTGCTCCATATCCTCCCAAACCCACCCCAAAATAACCATTTTTACACCTCAACCCCCCTCTATTGTTTATGACTCCCAGAATTTACCCCAAACACATCCATACTGATCTTTTTTTCTATAAGAGTTCCCCAAATCAAGAACCCCCAGATTTCCCCCCACTCTGCTCCGTATCTCCCCAAACCCGCCCCAAAATAACCATTTTACACCCCCAAAATCCCTTTGATGTCCATAACTCCCAGAATTGACTCTAAAATCTTTTATCCTGTGTATTTTTTCTATAAGACCCTCCCAAATTACTCCCCTGCTGCTCCACATCCCCCCCAAACCCACCCCAAAATCAACCATTTCACACCCTCCAAACCCCCCCTCCGTAGCCCTTCCTCCTTCAAATCACCAGAACCCCCCACAAACCCGGGAATCGTCCCCAAAAAAAGGAGCCGGGAGCCGCAGTTGGTGTGGGATCGTCTCTGTAGAAAACTCCGGGGCCAAACCCCGCCCCTTTTCCAATACAATAAAAGAAAGTCATAAAAAATAATAAATCCCCCCCTTTTGTGTTTGGTTTTCCTTTTTTGGGGGAAGGAGTTAATTCTTTTTTCCGCGCACAAAAAAAGAAAATAAAAAAAAAGGTGAGAAAAGGCTCTTTCCACCCTCGGGTTGGGAAAACCACGGCCAGGGATGAGGAGTGGGATGGGGTGGGGGGAGACGGGATGCACGTGGGGAGGGGCGGGATGAGGGTGGGGAGGGGCGGGATGCGGGTGCGGGATGCGGGTGGGGACGGACGCGGGTGGGAAGGGGGTCCCCCCGCTCAGCAGCCCCCGCAGCTGCGGGCGCAGGACGCGCCCACGGTCTGGCAGAGCCCACTCGTGGCCATAACCCCGCACTTGGAGAACTTGTCCCGGCACAGGTCGGCTGTGGGAACGCAGGGATCAGCCCGGGAAAACCGGGACAGGAGGCAAAGAAAGTGCCCCTGACGGGGGTGGGAACGGGGGGATGATGGTGGGGGACAATCCCCCCCCACCACAAAATAGGACCCTGCGCTCCGGGATGGGCAGAGACCGGCACGGCTCGTCCCGTAGGGGAGAGGAGCCATCCCTATCCCATCCCCTTCCCCATCCCATCCCCATCCTCTTCCCCATCCCATCCCATCCCATCCCATCCCATCCCATCCCATCCCATCCCATCCCATTCCCCATCCCATCCCCTTCCTCATCCCATCCCCTTCCCATCCCATCCCCATCCCCATCCCATCCCCATCCCCATCCCATCCCACCCCATCCCCATCCCCATCCCCATCCCATCCCACCCCATCCCCATCCCCATCCCATCCCCATCCCCATCCCCATCCCATACCCATCTCCCCATCCCATCCCCATCCCCATCCCCATCCCATCCCCATCCCATCCCTCCTTCCCCATCCCTCCCTTCCCCATCCCATCCCCTTCCCATCCCATCCCCTTCCCCATCCCCATCCCACCCCATCCCCATCCCCATCCCCATCCCATCCCCATCCCCATCCCCATCCCATACCCTTCCCCATCCCATCCCCATCCCATCCCCATCCCCATCCCCCATCCCCATCCCCATCCCATCCCCCTCCCTTTCCCCATCCCCTCCCCTTCCCCATCCCATCTCCTTCCTCATCCCATCCCATCCCCATCCTCATTCCCATCCCCTTCCCCATTCCCTTTACCATCCTCATCCCCATCCCAAAATCCACAGCTCATCCCACGGGGGAGGGGGATCCATCCCTATCCCTGCTCCCAAAATCCCCAGTAGGGACCACCACAGCCCATTCCATGGAGGGAAATCCACCCCCATCCCAAAAATCACAGCTCATCCCATGGGGAAGGAGGATCCATTCTCATCACCATCCCCATCCCAAAAACCACAGCCCATCCCATGGATGAGGAGGATCCATCCCCATCCCCAAACCCACATCTCATCCCCTGGAGGAGGTGGATCCATCCCCATCCCGAATTCCACATCTCACCCCCCGGGGGAGGGGGATCCATCCCTATCCCTGCTCCCCAGATCCGCAGCACACTCCACGGGAGCTGCTGGAGCAGCTTGGATCGCCCAGCGGGATTTTTCCTTGCTGTAATTCCCGGAAAAGGGGTGCCCCGGGCAGGGACGACGCCGATTGTTCGGGTCCCCCCTCACCTCGCAGCAGCTCCTCATGGGCGCACACGGTGCGGACACAAATCTCCTTGTTGATGACGTAAACCCGGCGCAGGCTGGATGGGGAACGGGATAAAAACCATGGAAGGGGTCGGGCGAAAGCAGGGGGGGATTCCCGACCTGTCGGGGAGGGGGTCAGGGAAGGGTTCCCCCCCTCCCCTCTCACCTGTAGAAGCAGATCTCGTTCAGGCACTGCTTGCAGGGCTTGTGCACCGAGTAGAGCCGCGTGCAGGGATACTGCTCCTCCCGGCAATCTGCGGGAAAACCGCCTGGGAATTCCCCGCACAGGGGCCCGAGTGCCTCCCCCACCCCGCCCCAAACCCACACATCCCGCTCCGGAGAGGCTCGAAGGCAGGATGAGCCCCCCACCCGGCATCGACACTCACCGAGGGGTCCCGGCTCCGTGGGCTCGGTCTCGGGGGCAGCAGCTGAGGGGGGAGAGGAGGGGGGAGGAAGTTTGGGGATGGACCAAAAGGATCTCAGCGGCCTTTCCCTGGATTTTAGGGCGGGAGCGTCCTGGTGTGGGCACGCGGGGGTGGGGGCAGAACCGGGATAAGGGAGCAGGGGGAAGACCCCCCGGTCTTGGGATTGAGGGGGGCGGGGGGGCTGTCACCCACCTTGGGGGGTTGTCACCCACCTGGGAGTGCCGTCACCCACCTGAGAGGGCTGTCACCCACCTGAGGGGACTGTCACCCACCTGCAGGGCTGTCACCCACCTGGGGTCGGGGCCGGCACGGTTTCCTGCTGGGATTGCTGCTGGGATTGGTACCGGAACTGCTCCTCGGGGGCGCGCGGGGTGACATCTGCCAGCACAGACACAGAGCAGGGGCATCCCAAAACATTCCCGCCCCATCCCGCCCCTCGGCACCACCCCTTCCCCCCCCTTTCCCAAGGATCACTCACCGTGGTAGTCGTAGTAGTCCTGAATTTCTGGGGAATAAAACGAAACCAGAGGCTGAGGGGGGGGGGTGGGATTTTAGGGAGAAAACTCAACCCATCCGGGCCAGGGCTGGGCAAGGAGCTCCCTAAAATGTGGGTGGGAGCGATGGGAAAACAGCTCTGGACGTCCCAGGGATGACCTGGGAACATCCATCGGGTGTGTGTGGGGTAATTGATGAAGGTTTAATGAGTAATTTGCAGCACGAGCGAGGGGAGGGGGAGGGGTTACCTGGTTGGGAATTTAAGGGGCGGGAGAACAAGGATGGAGCAGAGGGAAAAGAGGGATCAGGGTGGGGGAATGTTTGGCCGTAGAAAGCAGAAAATGAAGGGGATCAAAAGCATTCCCAGTGCAGGGAGCTCTCACCTGATTGCTGGTCGTACTGGGAATACTGGACTGGCTCGGGATAGGTGATTCCCTCAAACCTGCTGTACTGTCCCTGCACCAGGAGCGCTGCTGGGACACGGGGGGGTCACCAGGGGGGGATTTGGAATTGGCCGCTCCAAAAATCCCACCCCTTTGCCCTCTGGGTCCCGGGGAAGGGCAGGGAGAGGGAAGTGGCTGCTCAGGCAGGGAGGAGCAGCAGCAGCCCAGGGTTCCTGCACCATCCAGCTGGGGCTGATCCCATGGGATCCACGGTCCTGGAGAAGGGTCCGGTACCCACTGACCCCAGGGATGCTCCTGACACGGATGGCACCCCCTGCATCCCACTGGGAGCCCACCCTGCCGTGGATCCAGGGGGAAAACGGGATCAAAATCCAACCTGGATGAGTTGAAGGGATCAGAATGTTGGGAGGGGGGATCGGATCACTCCCATCTCCATCCCCATCCCTATCCCCATCCCCACGGATGGCAGGGATCCATCCCTGGACACAGGGACCCTTCTATGGACACAGGGACCCTTCTATGGACACAGGGACCCATCCATGGACACAGGGATCATCCCCATCCCTATGGATGGCAGGGAGGGATCATTCCCACCCCTATCCATCCCTGGACACAGGAATCCACCCATCCCGGTGCCAGGAGCATCCCTGAGCTGGGATCGATGGGTTTTCTCTCCCCTCCCCCTTCCCTTGGCTCTGGAATGTTTTCCACGTGTCCCTGGCTTTGTTTCACCCCCAGTTTTCCAACTCCACCCCCTCCCTCCCTGTTCCCATCCCACCTTTCCCGGCCCCTCGGGGGTTTTATCCCAGTTCCAAAGTGCCAATTCTGTGCCACCTCCAGGAGGTGCCAGAGCCCTCCTGACTCCCAACTCTGAACAATTCCCGGCCTAAATATACGGAATTTGGGGTTGATTTTTGGGAATAACGGGCGACTGTCCCTTTGGGAGTGGTGACACCTCCTGCTCGTCCCCCAGACGGTGCTTTGGGACCAAAAACTCCACACTTTGCACCCTAAAAAAGAGATTTTGGAGGCTCAAAAGGGAGGTTTTGGTCTCCAAAATGGGATTTTGAGAGCTCAAAATGAGGTTTTGGATCAAAAAAAAGGGAGCATTTGGGTCCATAAATAAAGATTTGGGCTCAAAATCTGGGGATTTGGAACACCCAAACCTGACTTGGGGCCTTCCAAGTGGTGCTTTTGGGCCTCAAAAGGGTGTTGAAGGCTTAAAAATTGAGGTTTGTACCCTAAAATGGGGGTTTCAACCACAGAATCAAAGCTTTGGACTCCAGAAAGGAGGATTTGGGACATAAAAATGAGGCTTTAGGACCTAAAAATAAGGTTTCTATCTCTGAGAGTGGGGTTTAGACCCCAAAATGAGGGTTTAGACCCTAAAAATGAGGCTTTCAGATCAAAAAATAAGGGGTTTAGCTCTAAAACTGGGGTTTATGACCCCAAAAATGAGGGTTTAGATCCTAAATATGAGGGTTCTAATTACAGAAGCAGAGCCTTGGACTCCAAAAATGAGGATTTGGGACCTAAAAATGAGGCTGTGGGATATAAAACCAAGGTTTTTAGCTCTAAAAGTGGGGTTTAGACCCCAAAAATGAGGCTTTGGGACATGAAAAGAAGGGGTTAACTCTAGCAGAGGGATTTAGACCCTAAAAATGAGGGTTTCAACCACAGAATCAAAGCCTTGGACTCAAAAAATGAGTCTTTGGGACCTAAAATTGAGGGGTTTAGCTCTAAAAATGGGGTTTAAACCCCAAAAATGAGGCTTTAAGACCTTGAAATAAGGTGTTTAGCTCGAAAAGTGGGGTTTAGACCCCAAAAATGAGGCTTTGGGACATGAAAATAAGGGGTTTAGACCCTAAAAATGGGGATTTGACCCTAAGAATGAGGTTTTCAACCACAAAATCAAAGACTTGGACTCCAAAAATGAGGCTTTGGGACCCAGAAATAAGGTTTTTAAGCTCTAAAAGCAGGGTTTAGACCCCAGAAATGAGGGTTTAGACCCCAAAAATGAGGGTTTAGATCCCAGAAGTGAAGGTTTGGCCCCTCCAAGACGAGTCCTGGAGTTTAAAAATGAGGGACTGGGTGGTAAAAATGGGGCTGTGGAGCTGGAAAAGGAGGATTGGGATCATGGAATAATTCAACTGGTCCCAGGGAGGGGACACTCACCTGGCAGCCACAGCACAAGGAGCCCCGTCCCTCTCATCCTGATGGAACCGTGGAAGAGTCTGGGAAGAGAGGGAACACCGAGGGATCAGGGGAGAGGGTGCCAGCAGAGCCCAGAGTGGAGGTTTGGGGCTCCTTTCCTGGGATTTCCCACCCAATTCCTTGGGAAAGGGTTTGTTCCAGGGGTTCCCGTGCTGGGAAATGCAGAGTTCACTCGGGTGGATCTGAAGGGGTGTGGAGAGTTGGGGGAAAAATTGGGATTTTAGGGAAAATCCCAGCCTGGGCTTTGGCAGCCAGGGGCACTCCTGCTTTCCTGGAGTTTTCCAGGCCTGCTTTTGCTGGCAGGAAGATGGGCCAAGGTTGGGAAGAGCTGGGATGGCAGGAATGGGACTGCCCTGCCCCTCATCCCGAGCCAGATCCAGGGGGACAACTGAGGGGAACAGAGAAATCCTGCCCAAAAACATCCCAGATCCTGGTGGGATTGTGGCTCCAGGCCTGGCACACTTGGGAGGGGGGGCAGTGGGACTGGAGGGACCATCAGCTCCCAGGGATCCCATCCTGGCCATCAGTGGAATGTGGCACATTCCAGGGATCCCATCCTGGCCATCACCAGGGTGGCACATTCCAGGGATCCCATCCTGACCATCAATGGAATGTGGCACATTCCACAGACCAGGTCTTGCCCCATCCCAATAATTCTGTCCCATAAAACTTTCCAGCCCCGGTGTCCTCACTGCCACCCCAGTCCAGCCCCTTCCCAGGACCAGCAGCCCCAGCTCCTGCCCCAAACCCAGAGCTGTGTCCCAAAAATCCCTCCTGGTCACTGTGTCCTCACCAGCACCCAGGGACCACATCCTGCCCCACCACCAAGGCCCAGCAGCTTCCAGGGACTGTGTCCTGCCCCAAATCCGAGAGCCATCTCCCAAAAATCCCTCCTGGCCATCGTGTCCTCTCTGTCACCGAAGCCCCTTCCAGTCACCACGTCCAGCCCCACCACCAAAGCTGCCTTTTCTGCTCACCACGTCCTCCAGGTCACCAAAGGTGCCTTCAGGGACTGTGTCCTGCCCCAAACCCAGAGTCATCTCCCAAAAAACCCTGAGGGTCAGCACGTCTTCCAGATCGACCAAGAGCAGCATCCTCTGGGGATCCCACCCTCACCACCTCCCAAGGACAGCACCTTCCATTGTCCATCCTGCCCCAGGCCCAGAGGGTGGACCTTTTGGTCCTCAGGGCCACCCGAGGCCCCTTCCAGGGGCTGTGTTGTCACCGTGACCAAAGCACAGCCTCTCGTGGCCACCACATCCCCCCCGGCACCTCCCCGTGACCAGACCCAGGCCCTGCCCCACCCCAGGCCCCAGAGTTCCCTCCACACCTGGCTCAAAGCCCTGGAGATGTTGGGAAGCAGCTCCCAGACCCTTCCCAGCCCTGGGGAACCCCCAGGGTTGGTCCCCATGGAGCTGGGACGAGGTGACCGCTCAGCCCTGGGGGTGCCAAGGAAGAAACCACGGCCCCCCCATCACCACCCCAGGGTGGCACTCGGGGCCCTGTGGTCCCCACTGCTTCTCACAGCCCAGCCGTGGGTTTAGCCAGGGCTGAAGGAGTGCTGGGATAACTGGGATAACAGGGATCACGGGGATCATGGGCGGATGGGTGGGATCAGCACGACTCTGGAGGCTTTGCCGGGCCCTGGGGCTGCTGGCAGAGCTTGGCTGTGGGACAGGGGCCAGGGGGGATCCAGAGGGGCTGGAGATGCCCATCCTGGCCTTTGCTGCTTCTGCAGGTACCAGAATCCCATGGGATTCCAGCACTGACATCCTGGGGCTCCAAAACCGCCTGATCCAGGGCCTGTATCCCAGCAGGAGAGCTTGGGGCAAGGCTGCTGGGTGGATGGATGGATGATGAATGGATGGATGGATGATGGATGGATGGATGGATGATTTCCCACCTCCAGAGTCATCCCACTCCATCCCCTAACCATTCATTCCCAAGGACCTGGCCTCACAACTCGGGATTGACGTCCCCTTTTCCATCCCAAATGCCCCTGATCCAGGGCCTGTATCCCAGCAGGAGAGCTTGGGGCAAGGCTGGTGGGTGGATGAATGATGGATGGATGGATGGATGGATGAATGAACTCCTACCTCCAGAGCCATCCCACTCCATCCTCCCGCCATTCCCAAGGATCCAGCCCCAGAACTCAGGATCGACCTCCCCTTTTCCACCCCAAAATCCTCCAGCAAAGCTTCTCCCTAGCTCCAGTTCCCGGGACTCCCCCCGGACACGGCGCTCTTGGCCGGGCTCTCCCGTTTGGCCGCGGGACGGGGACAGTCGGTCACGTCCTGCCCCGACGGCGCTTCCAGCGGCTGCTCCCGCCGGAGCCCCCGGAGCGGCCCCGACACTCCGGGACACCTCAAAGCCACCAACGCGGGGACGGAGCCACCTCCGCCCTCCTCCCCCCCATCCTCCTCCTCCTCTTTCCCCACCATCCCCTTTTCCGGGATGAGACCCGAGATTCCCTCTTTCCCAACGCTCCGTGCAGGGGTCCGGCGGCTCCAACCGCGCCAGATGTTTTTGCAACTCCACATCTGGGAACAATCAAGCCCGGGGAAGGAACAGCAGAGTCCCTTTCATTCTGCTAAACCCCACCTTCTCCCAGCCTTTTCCCCCTCCCCCAGCTGCTTTTTTCCCCCCCATTTTCCTTTCTTTTTTTTTTTTTTTTTTCCCCAGTTGCCACAGAGTGGGAAGAACAAAGGGAATATAAAAGGACTCCCAGTTTTTTTGGGCCCTCGCCCAAAGGTACAAAACTCGGTGCCCCCACCCCCCGTTTTTCACACCTCACGTTTTCCTCAGGGTCCCGTCCCCTCCCAGATACCCAGAAATAAGAAAATAACCCTTCTCAGGGTCTCTTTCCAGCATGGAAAATTAAAAATAAATGCACGGCTTCCTTCAGGTTTAGACTGAAGGTTTTCAGCTTAAGGGTATTTTTAGACTTTTTGGAAGTGGTGGAAAATCTCCTCCAACAACTGCCAGGGCTCCAAAATGAGTGTGTCCCCCCTTCCCCCTCCTCCCCCGCCCCCGGCTACTGTTTCTTCAGCACCCCAAAATCAAGTAGGGTTTGCTTTTCGGGGATTAAAGAGTTCAAAGCAGCTTTTCCGAGCGGCCCCAGCCGATCGAGGTTCTAAGGGGATTTTGGAAAGCCCCAGAAATGGGGTTTTACCCCCCTCCCCCCTTGGCTGCTGGGGGGGGGGTCCCCAGAATTCCTGGGAATGGGGGGAGGGGGGGGTCTCTCCCGCCTGGTCCTTACCAGTTGGTGCCGGCTCTGCCTTTTCCCACCGCCTTGGTCTCTTCTCTCTGCTTTCCAAAAACTCTGGAAATGAGAGTTAAAAAAAAAAAAAAACCAAAAAAACCTCCTACCTCCAACATGGGGGCTCCGCTGGGTCCTAAAGCCGCACCTGAGCCGGCCCCTTCCTGCTCCAGCTGCCGCCTGCCAGGGGAAAAACCGGGATAATAATTCAAAATGATGGTCAGTGAGAGCTTCTCCGTGCAAAGGGCTCGGGCTGGTTGGGGTTTTGCTGTTTCTTCGTGTTTTTTTTTTTCTCGGTTGGATGAGTTTTAAAGCCGTTTAAGAGCAAGGAGGGAGGAGGATTCCGTGCAGCCCCGGCACGGGTCGGGCTGGGATTTGTGCTGCTGGAAGGGGGGCAGATCCAAGGATCAGGGCAGGGAATTGTTGTATCATCTCGGCAGCTCCTGGAAAAAATCAAACACACCCCAAAATTTGGGCTGTTGAGCCCCCCATCACCCCCCTGATCCACTGGCGTTAGCACCTCACCTTCCTCCGGAGCAGAGGATGCTGCGATCCCGGGGGATTTGAAGCTTTATCCCGGGATAGAGGGCGGGAAAAGGCCAAAATTCCCCTTTTCCCCCCAAGGCTGAGGGAGGGCAGCCCCTGGGTGGGCTGAGAGCCAGCGCTGCTGCCCCTTTTCCCTGGATTGCTGACGGCGTTCCGGAGGGCACGGGATACCGGCGGCATCCCGGTAAGGCCTGGGATGATCCCTAAAATCCCCCCCGAGCCTGGAGGTGCCACAGAGCCCGGAGCTGCGGGATGAAAACCTGCGGATTTTTAGGTGTAAAACCAGCGGGGGGCAAACAGGGGGTGCTGGGATGGCGGGAAAACGGCTCTGGAGATGGGAATGGGGATGAGGAGGCTCGGTTTTCATCCGCGGGTCAGGATTCCACGCAGCCCACGCTGGGTTGTGCAGCAGGGAGAGGGGCTGACTGCTCCCAAAACCAGGAACACGTGGATTTTCAGAACAGACAGGGTTTAAAAAGGTGCTCCCTGCTCCTCCCGAGCCTGGTTTTCCAGGCTGAAGGACCGATAAAACCATCCCAATGACTCCAAACACGGCTGTTCCCGGCCCCCAAATCCAACATGATCCTCATCCCAGCCCTGGTAACCTTTATCCAAGGGCAGGAACTGCCCGTTAATAATTAAATGGACTTTACAACCCCCCCCGGGGGCGGGAACACCCTCAGAATCCAGCCAAGCAAAACACCCCGGGGGGTGGGAGCGGCGTGGAAATTCCAAGGGGTAAAGGAGCCCTGGGTGCTTTTGCTTTGAAAACTGCCAAGAACGGGCAGAATTCTCCGAGATTTTGGGGGGTGTGGAGGTTTTTTTTAACTCGAGAAGTCTGGTTTAATAACTGCAGCCTTGGCTGGGATTTCAGGAAACCTCTTACCTCTGCTTGTGCCTCATTTCCTGACCTAATCCCCAGCTCCCGGAGGGCAGAGAGGCCGCCGGCGCTCCGAGGGGGAGAGACTTTCCATGGAGACGAGTTCCTTCAAGAAGCAGCCCCTGAGCCGAGAGCCAGGCTGGGAGGCAGCTGGAAAATCCTGGGAAGGGGCTGCAGGCAGCACAGCCCCCTCCCTGGGGATCGGCTCTTCCCCTCTCGGGATGTGGCGTCTCCGTCCACTCGGCCGAAGGAGCGAGCTTTGGGAGTCCTGGCCAGGCCACCTGGGCTTTTCCAGCAGTGGTTGTTATTTTCTAGGAAATTCCAGCTGGAAAGAGGCTACTCAGCTGAGTTTGGGCTGCTGGAATCCCAGCGGTGTCATCCCTGGCTCCACTCCCTGCTTTCGAGCATCGGAGCAGCTTCCAGCCGGGCTGGGGAATGAGGTGACCCTGAAACCTCTTCCCTGTTCCCACATTCCATGGAAACTCCCCTGTGCCACTCCCCATCCATCCCCACAAAGCAGCACAAGGAAGCAGTCAAGAAAATAGTGTTAATTTATTAGACAACACCCCCCACGGCACCGTCCGGAATCCAGGATCGGCGCCGTCCAGAACCTGGAATTGGCACCATCCAGACCCTGGGATCGGCACCTTCACCCTCCCCACGGCTTTGACACCTCGAGCCATCGGAGTGCAGTTAAAAAATAAAGAGATCTGGGGTGTGTTTTAATGCTACAAAGGTCCCAGCTGGAAGCAGAAGTGCCCTGCGGGAGCATTCCAGGCGGGAAAGGGGCCTGTGGGATGGAGCAGCATCCTTGGCAAGCTGGGAATGGGGTCTGTAAACTTCCTACACATCTAGGGAGGGCCATGGAGGGGAGTCACAGTGACATGGACACGAGGGCCGGGGGTGCCCTCGCTGGGAGAAGATCAGGGACCCTCTTCCATTTTTGGGACGCGGCATCGCCATCCGCCGGAGTTTCCTCGGAGTGAGGTTTCGGAGCCTTGGCCAGGCCACCTGGGGTTTTCCAGCCATAATTATTATTTTCTAGGAAATTCCAGCTGGAAAGAGGTCACTGAGCTCGGTTTGGAGAGGAGGAGGGAGGTGGAATTCCGCTGTGGAGCGGCACCGGCACCCAGCGCAGGAGCGGGACAACCCCCGGAGGAAGAGCCACACCGCTTCCTCCTCTTCCTCTGGATCTCTCCCCCCACTTTCTCCTCCACCACCTGCTCCTCGTGGGATCACCATGCCCATGGATCCAGTGCCGAGGGTGTCCTGTGGGCTCCCGCCCGCCGCATCCCTCCTTTTCCCGGGATAAATCCAGGCCGCTGTCCAAGGGCTGGCGGCAGGGGGGCCCCGTGCCCGCTATCTCAGGGCCATGGACATCCTGGGAGTGGCAAAGAGGGGCTCGTGGAGGGGGGGCCAGCCCGGCTGCTGCTGGCTCAGCTCCTTCTCCAGCCTCTTGAAGAGCTTCTTGGAGGCTTTTCTGCGGCGGAAGCGGCGGAAGCAGCTGAGCAGGCCGTGATCCAGGGCGGTCTGCAGCACACACGGGCGGGAAAACAGCCTTGGAGAGGGGGTTTCTCGGGAGAGGGTGGAGCTGACGGCGAGGTCAGCCCCGAGCCCACCCTGGGACAGACCCAGGGGGTCCCACACGCCCCTCCCGGACCCACCTCCAGCACGAAGGCGGCGAAGAAGTTGAGGGCGGCGATTCCCAGCAGCAGCAGCTTGAAGTTCAAGTCCTCGATGCCCTGGAGCTTCAGGAGGGTTTTGGGGAAGCCCAGCGGGTAGAGGGTCAACCAGATCATGAGGCCAAACAGCAGGATGAGGACGAGCAGGAAGAGCACTGAGGGCGAGAGGGGAGAGGGTGAGGAGGGGGAGGAAGAGGAGGAGGAGGAGGGGAGGGCTGGGGGGTAGCTGTGCCCACGTGGCACCCTCCTCACCGTTGGTGTAGAGAGGCTCCCGGAAGGGGTATCCCTTGGACATGGCCACGGCCAGGATGAGGTACTGGAAGCCCGTGACGCAGAACAGGACGGTGTTCTCGTAGTTGGGCAGGTTCTGGGGGGCTGTCACCGTGCTGTTGAGGGGGATGTACCTGAGCCACAGGGGAGACAGGAGAGGGTCAGCTGGGAAGAGGTTTCCCGTGGTTTTCCATATTCTCCATCACGGTAAAACAACTGCCTTGTGAGGGGCAGAGGAGGGGCTGGCACTGAGCTCCTCTCTCTGGTGACAGGACCCAGGGAAGGGCTGGAGCTGTGCCAGGGAGGGTCAGGTGAGATCTCAGAGAAGGTTTTCCCCCAGAGGGGGGTTGGCACTGAACAGGCTCCCCAGGGCAGTGTCAGAGCTCCAGGAGGGTTTGGACAACGCTCTGAGGGACAGGGTGGGATTGTTGGGGTGTCTGGGCAGGGTTAGGAGCTGGACTAGTGATCCTGGGGAGCCCTTCCAGCTCAGGACATTCTGTGATTCCATGCCTGCTGCCAGGCAGCTGGATGAATCCTGGATCCCAAAGCCAGGACAAGCACCTGGACTCCATCACAACCTCTGTGCCATTCCCGTCGCTAAACCCATATGGAGCCACAGCATATCAGGAAAAATTCCTTTACAGAAAGGGCTCTACAGCACTGGCACAGGCTGTCCAGGGCACTGGTGGAGTCACCACCACTGGAAGCATTCAGAAAACATCAGGATGTGGCACCTGGGTTAGTAGTGAATGTGGTGATGGTGGAGAAGCACCACAGCTCCTCCACATCATTCCCACTCCTAAGGAAAGGAAGGTTTAGGTTGGAAATCAGGAAAAACCCCTTCCCAGAAGGGGCTGTAAAGCTTTGGGAGGGGCTGCCCAGGGTGGTGGTGGAGTCCCCACTCCTGGAAGGGCTCCAGGATCGCGTGGATGTGGCACCTGGGGACACGGTTTCATGGTGAGCAGGGGTGGACTCAACGCCCCTAAAGCCGCGCGTCCAACCTCACCAGCCCCACGAGCGAGGGCTCTGAGCCTCACCAGCTCTGTGAGACGGTGATGAAGTAGCTGAGGACCTGCACGGTGATGAGCAGGGCTGTCTGCAGCAGGAGGCTGCCCAGCACCAGCACGCTGATGAGGGCACCCTGGGGACGCTCCACGCCCAGCTCCTGGGAGGGCCCCGTGCGGCCCATCAGCACGGCCACCGTGGTGGTGATGACCAGGTCGAAGAACAGGAACTGGAAGTCGCTCAGGTTGGTGTTGATCTGGGGAGGAGAAGGGCCTTGAGCAGGGGCAGGTTGAAAGGCAGCAGGGAGGAGGTGATGGGGAAGGGCAGGGCTTTGGGACTCACCGTGTAGAGCAGCAGCACGGACACGAACTGCACCAGGCTGTACAGGGCCATGTACTTGAAGACACCAAAGGAGGTGACCAGCGAGCACCTGCCCTCCCTGCAGGGGGAGATTCACAAAGAACACCCTGAGCTGGAAGGGACCCCCAAGGATCATAGATCCAACCCCTGGCCCTGCCCAGACACCCCAACAATCCCTCCCTGTCCCTCAGAGCATTGTCCAAACCCTCCTGGAGCTCTGGCAGCCTTGGGGCTGTGACACTGCCCTGGGGAGCCTGTTCAGTGCCAACCACCCTCTGGGGGAAGAATCCTTCCTGAGATCCCACCTAATACTCCCCTGGCAGAGCCTCCTGTCACACCAGACCAAATTTATGCAGCAGAGATCCAACCCCTGCCCCACTCCAACAAAAGGTGGCATTTCCGACCTCAACCTGCCACATTCCTCCCAGTGAGGACACATTTAGTCACTGCAGACCCACCCAAAAACCAGCAGCATGAGGAACACGTGAAATGTGAGACCTGATCTCGGCTGGCACCTCCCAGGGCCATCCTTCCCACCCCAACCTGCCTGGAATGCTGCCATCCATGGTCCCCAGCCCACACTCATCGGGACAAGGTCCTTCACCACGTACATGTGGGGCAGAGGTGCTGACACCCAACCTGACCCTGCCCTGCCCCATCTCCAGGCCATTCCCTGTCCCCAGGGAGCAGAGCTCGGTGTCCCCTCACCCCCCACCAGCCCCCCCCTCCCCCAGATCATTCCAGCCGGGCCCACAGGAGCCGTTCCGTGGCTGTTCCCCCCCAGCTCACCGGACAAGCCTGGGCACACACTCGATGTTGGCCAGGCGGGAGGTGAAGGGCGAAGCCACCGACGCCTCGGCCTCGGACAGCGAGATGCCCACGTCGGCCGCCCGCAGCGCCCCACAGTCGTTGGCCCCGTCCCCACACATCCCCACGCAGTAGCTGCACACAAGGAACCCACCCCACCTCATCAGCACGGCGAGGGAATGCCTGGAGCTGCCCAGGAAAGCCACTCCAGCCCTGGGAGTGCTCCAGGCCGGGCTGGACGGGGCTTGGAGCCAGCCGGGATAGCGGAAGGTGCCCCTGCCCACGGGACTGGATGAGCTCCCAGCCCAACCCATCCCATAATTCCATGGCTGACCCCCTGCCCCCCCACCCCTCCAGGCCTCACTTGAGCTCCTGCAGGCTGCACACCAGTTGGGTCTTCTGCTCGGGCAACATGCGTGCAAACACCGTGGCTCGGACCAGGATCTGCCAAGGACGGGACACTCCGTGTCCATCCCGGAGCACCCCGGCCCTGTGCCCAGGGGGAGCTCTGGGAATGTCACACCCCCATCCCTGTGCCCAGGGGGAGCTCAGGGAATGTCACACCGACCTCAAAAAACACCCTCTGGGAATTTTGTTTTGGAGCTGTGAGGACACAGTGGGAAAGCCCAGGGAGGTCAACCTCAGTGGAGGGTCCCCAACCCCACTGGAGAGTTTCCCAACCCCAACTTGAGGGTTCCCAACCTTGTTGGGGGATTACAAACTCCAACACAATTTCCTTGTTGGAGGGTCCCTCAACCTCACCAGAGGATCCCCCTACTTTGCCAGAGGGTTCCCCACCTCAGCAGAGCACTCCCAACCCCACCAAAGGATCCCCCAACCTTGATGGACAACACTCCAACCTTGCTGGAGGATCCCCCAACCTCACCAGAGGACTCCCAACCCCACCAATCTTGCTGGAGACTCCCTCAAGCCCACTGGAGGGTCCCCAACCTCACCAGAAGGATCCCCAACCTCACGAGAGGGTTCCCCAACCTTGCTGAAGGACTCCTCAACATTCCCAAAGGATCCCCCAAGCCCACTGGAGGGTCCCCAACCTCACCGGGGGGGTTCCCCAACCCTGGCAGAAGGTTCCCCAGTCCCCACAAAGAGTTCCCCAGCCTCAATGGAAGACTCCCCATTCTCATCCCAGGGCACCCCAACCTCGCTGGGAGCATCCCCAAGCCCCACCAGAGGGTTCCCCAAACCCCATGGAGGGTCTCCCAACCTCCCCAGAGCATTCCCAAACCCCACTGGTGGGTTCCCAACTCCTCCAGAGGGTTCCCCACCCCACCAGAGGGTTCCCCCCAGGCTCACCTTGGGCAGCAGGTCAGCAAAGTGCTCACAAACCACCTGGAAGGATTTCCCATTGAGGGCAAAGTGGCAGGGCTGGGGAGGGGGGGAGGAGCCATCCCGCTGCTCCAGGCCCTGCCAAGGGAAAAGAGCTCCTTGTTCTCCTTCCAGTCCCTGCAGAGCCCCGGGATAATGGGCTGAGCAACCTCCCCAGGGCAGGAGGGAGAGCAGCTGCCCTTCAAGCTCAGTTTCAGGGATATAAAAGGGGGTGTTTTGGATAAAAAGCTTGTTTGATGGAGCTCTTGGTGCCAAGCCTGGAGCAGGACCCAGCATCATCCATGAGGAGCGGGTTTGGAGCCCCAGCTCCAGCCTGACCTGCTCCCAGGGAAGACAGGTCATATTTCCAGGCACATAAATGGTGATATTTGGGATAAAAAGCTTGTTTGGTTGAGCCCTTCAGGGCAAGGACCTGGAAGCATCCACGAGGAGGATTTTTGGAACATCCTTTCCAGCCTGATGTGCTCCCAGGAAGAGACAAGAGCAGCTCAACTTCTCCTCAGGGAGGCATTTAATGAGGGCCAGGATCACTCCCTTAATTCCCTCTAAGGATGATGATGCTGGAAAACCACTCCCCATCCCTGGAATTGCCCAAGGCCAGGCTGGATGGGACTTGGAGCGACCTGGGCTAGTGGAAGGTGTCCCTGTCCATGGCAGGGGGTGGAATGGGATGAGCTTTGAGGTCCCTTCCAACCCAAATCATGCTGGGATTCTGGGATTCCCGTGACTGGGGGAGAGACTCCATTTCTTAGAAATAAGGAAGGAATTCCTGGCTGTGAGGGTGGGCAGGCCCTGGCACAGGCTGCCCAGAGCAGCTGTGGCTGCCCCATCCCTGGAAGTGTCCAAAGCCAGGTTGGAGCCACTTGGGCCAGTGGAAGGTGTCCCTTCCCTCGGGGACACGGGATGAGCTTCCCGGTCCCTCCCAGCGGAATTCACCCTGGAATTCCATGCAGGAGTGAGTGCCTGGGCACTGGGGGCGTGTGCAGGGGTCTCACCTCGGGCTGCTCCTCGCCCTGGGAATGCTCTGCCGGCAGGAACCGCAGCGCGGCGGGTTTGTCGTGGCCGGGCGGGGAGGCGGTGACGAAGATCACCCGCTCCTTGGGCTCCACCATGCGGCAGCTGCGGGCCACGTTCATGGCTGTCAGCATGTTGTCCCCTGCCGGGAGAGCACGGATTGGGCTTCTGGGGCTTCCAACCCGCCGCGTGTCCCCTCCCCGGGGGTCCCTCTGCCTCCCTGTGTTTCGGGGCACAGCTCCAAACCCTCGTGCTTTCCCCACTCCAAAGAAAAGCAGATTCAAATCCTGCTTTCCTGGCCGCAGCACACCAGGAGTTGACTCTGTTCCCCAACTCTGATCCTTGAAATGGGGGGTGTTGGCAGGAGATCGACAGTTGGGCGATCGACAGCCAACCCAGGAGCTTTTCCACACAAAAACCTTCCACACCCTGAGCCCACCGGCCCTTTGAGCATTCCAAGGGCAGGGACACAACGACCCCGGGTCCAGGAGTCCCTGCTGTGCCCCCACAGCTGCTCCAGGCCACAGGTTCCTGGTGGGAAACCCCTTCAGGCCTTGCACGAGCCCAAGGGCTGTCGGTGTCCCCGCTCCCAGATCACCTGTCACCATGACGGGGCGGATGTTGGCGTTCCTCAGGAGGTGGATCATGGGCGCCGACTCCGGCTTGAGGACGTTCTTCATGACCAGGAACCCCAGGAAGCTCAGGTTGCTCTCCACGGAGTCCCTGGTGGGACACAACGAGCCCTTCAACATCAACACCAGGCACAGAGGATCAGTGGGTCTGAATGGCTCCAAATCCATCTGGGAGGCAGCCAGGAATTCCTTTGGTGTGGATTAGGGTCTAATTCCTTGCAGGCAGCAAGACATCCTTGGGAATGCTTGGAGCAAACAAGGTGTAACGGGAATTGGCACCAACCTGGGGAGCTGCAGGGCCTCCTCGAAGGTGCCCACCGTGCCCAGGGCTTTGCAAGCCAGACCCAAGACCCGGAACCCATCCGTGGTGTAGTGTCGGAGCATCTGGGAGAAATCCAGGGGCACTGGAAAAGCGAGGCCAGAAGAGCTCCTGAAGGAAGCCCAGCTCCTAGACCAGCTGAGGGGAGATGGGCTCGGGATGCTCAGCCAGCCCCCAGCCCCATTCCCGGGCTTCTGTCTTCCTATTTCCTTCCCTGCACACGGCTGGAGCTGATCCAGAGCCCTGTGCCTCTGGGAAGTGCCCCAGGGCATCCCTGAGGATAACTCCCTGCAGGGATACAGACGCTGGAGCAGCGGGACTGGTGAACCCCCATCTCCCAGTACACACCAGTGTCCTTCCTGCACAGACTGGCCACCATCTCCGGGGCGCCCTTGACGTAGACGTGGGCCGGGGCTTCTCCGGGGAGTTTCACCAGGACACTCATCCTCTGGAAGGAGGAGGAGAAAGGGAAACGCCGGAGGATTCCAAGGGGAGACTGGTGCTTCTGCGGAGGACAGGGAATGTCAGGGCCAGGAGGAACTTCTCCAGGAGGAACCTGTCCAGGAGGAACCTCTCCAGGGCTGTGAGGAGCAGCCACCCTTTGGGCTGCAGACCCAGCGGTCTGGGAGCCGGAGCCGCTCTGCTCCACGGGATTACCCTGTCCCGGGGCTGCTCTTCCTCAGGGGGAGGTTTCACCACAGCCAAGACCTTCATCCCAAACTGCTGGAAGGCAGGGAGCTCACCCTCCTCCTCCTCCTCCATCGTCTCCAGGTGCTGCAACCAAGGCAGGTGCTGGGATGGCAAAGCCCCACCAACCTCAAGGGGGGTCTTAACTCCCCCCAGTCCCGGCAGGGCAGGATTCCTGCCTCCTCCCTCCCTGGCTCCCCACCCCGTGGCTCACCCAGCCGGTGGATTCCAGCATTTTGAGGTCCACGGGGTCCCCGACGAGCTGTGCCCGCAGCAGGGCCAGGCTGTGGCAGGTGGCCAGGGCATAGAGCAGGGGCCCGGCCGGGAGGCACCGCGGCTCGTGCACGATGGGCAGGAACTGGTTGTTCTCCAGGGGCACCACCCCCCACACGTCCAGCCCTTCCTCCGTCAGCGTTCCCGTCTGCGGGGAGAGCCCGCGGTGTCCCGGAGATCCCTCCAGCGGGAAGGGGAGCCCAACCCCGCCCCGCTCACCTTGTCGAAGCAAACCAGGCGGATCTTCCCGCACAGGTTGATGCGGGGGGGGCTGATGCAGAAGATTCCCTGCCTCTTCAGCCTGTTCTGGGCATAGATGGTGCCCACGGTCATGGCAGCCGGGAGCGCCGGCGGCACGATGACGGTCACCAGGTCCAGGGCGCGGATGATGATCTGCCCCACGGGCACCTGGCGGGGCAGGAAGGACAGGGCTGGGCATCCCCCACATCCTGACGGTCCCAGTGGATCCCGGGGGATCCTCCAGCTCCCCCTGCCCTACCTTGTTCCTGACCAGGATGAGGATGCTGTACAAGGTGCCGACTAAAGCTGTGCCAGAGGGAGAAGAGTTACCGGGAGAAGCCGAGGGAGGGGGTTCAACCCTTCCCCAGGAGTCTGGATGCTCCCAGAGGTGTCTCCGTGCTCAGACCTACCCAGGACGGCGAGGAACAGCACGAACTTCACGGCATCCTTGTAGAACTTGAAGCTGACGGGTTTGGGGTAGAGGATGGAGCTGATGAGATCCCCCTTGGCCGTGCAGAACCCTGCAGGAAGGGGCCAGGGGGTCACCGCGGATCCATCCAAGGGTGCGGATCCATCCCAGCTTCCCTCCTTGATCCATCACCTGTGCGGGTCACCACGGCCAGCACTTCCCCCCCCACGTAGGACTTGGCCTGGATGACGTGTGTCCCGCAGAACAGGGTGTGCCTCCGGTGCTCCTCCGGGGAATACACGGCCCCGGCCGCCTGCGCCGCCGCCGGGAGAGGCGTCTTCATCACCGGCACGCTCTCCCCTGGGGAAAGATGGGGCTCTGTCACCCTGGGGAAGCAGGATCCGGCCAGCCTGCACGGGAAGGGGCTGTCGGAGGGTGGCTGAGACACGAGGCTCGTCCTGTCCCCCGGAATGCCCCAGGAACAGGGGGATGGAGGCGCTCACCCGTCAGCATGCTCTCATTGACCATGCACTCGCCCGTCAGCAGCGCGGCGTCGCAGGGCACCAGCATCCCGTCCCTGGGAATGCTGATGCAGTCCCCTGGCACCAGCTCCACTGAGCTCACCACTGCCTCCTCTGGAAAACAGCGTGGCCGTGCTCAGGCGCGGCATCCCAAGGCCATCCCAAGAAGTTCCAGGCTGGAACTCTGCCCTCACCTCCGCTGGGCCGGCGCACTCGGACACCCACCGACATCCTGGCCATGGCCTGCAACGTGCTGCTTTGCTGGCAGAGAGGGAGGGAGGGAGGGAGAAGGTAAAACCATCCTAAAAACACAGCAAAGCATCCCCGGGTCTGGTCTCAAAGGCTTGGGATCAGGGATGAAGGACAAGGAGAGCCATCCCACCGCTGGACTGTGGGTTGTCCTCACCCAGCTGGGCTCAGGGGCAGCTCAACACCAGCACAGAGGGCAAAGGGCAGGAAAAATGGGCTGTTTCAGAGAGGTGCTGATCCCACCAACCTTCCTGGTCTCGTAGAGGGACAAGCCCAAGGAGATGGTGGAGATGAGGAAGATGCAGGCAGCATAGTAGTAATAGGCATCACACACCCACAGCACGATGCTGAACACTTGGAAGATGTAGAAGGGATTGAGCACCTGGAACAAGGGAAAGAGAAGCTTTGGGAAATGGGGAGAACTTCTTCCAGCCCTCTGTGAGACCTCCAGGTTCCTGGGAGGTGGGAGAACTTTCTCCAGATATCAGAAGACCTCCAGGCTCCTTTTGAGGAGGAGAGACCTTCCTCCCTCCTGGGAGGTTGGGAGAGCTTCTTCCAGCCCATCATGAGACCTCCAGGCTCCTTGAGGGACAACAGCTCACGTGGAGAAGCTGGCCCTTCCTTGGGGATAAACCAGCTGATGTCCCATAAACCCTCCCTTCTCCCCAGTTTTCCTCATGGATGGTGCTCCTGAGGATGCCCAGCCATCTCCACAGCTACCTGGGGGTGCTCCTGTCCCAGCCAGGACGGGTTCCCTCCAGGGCTGTACTAGCTCTGCCTTCTCCCAAAGTCCTCTCCTCCCTTCCCAAGGGCCCACAAATCACTTGGAGTGAGGGACATGGAACAAGGAATGATCTGCCCTGGGAAAGCCCACTCCTGGGAAGCTCAGCCCATGGACACCCACCCACCTCCTCCACCAGCAGCCTCGCGTAGGACTTGACAGGCACCTCGATGAGGTTTGGGCCGTAGATCTTCCTCCTGGGAAGAGAAAAGGAGAGGGAAGGAAATCTGCCCTTGGGAGAAGCAGCATTCCCACTCCGAGGGTGCTGCCCACACCTCCGTGGGAGCCTGGTTAGGCAGAGAAGCCAAGCCCAGGAATTCAATCCCACCTGCTTGGCCGGGGTTTTGACACAAGGCAAACCCAGGCTCCGGGATCTTCTACTCCTGGAAGAGCCTTGTGTGCTCCCTGTGCATCCCACAGGGATCCCTACCTAGTGGTGTGGTCTTGCTGGTCCAGCCCAGGCTGGGAGAGGTGGAGATCTGCGCAGGTCCAACCCTCATCCAAGACGCTGGGAAGGAAAAACGGAGAGACGGAGTCAAAATCAGCGGGAACAGTGGAACAAACAGCATGTCCAGGTCCCTGGGAACATTAAAAACCCCCTTGGGAAAAAGGAGAGTGCTGTGTTCCTTGGCCTCTACAGCAGCTGGTGAGTGCCAAGGAAAGCCAACAAAAGGGGCTCAGTTCGGAGCGCCGGGAGCGTCCGGAGCTGCCAAACTGCTCCGTCTGGTTCCCTGTGGCCGGAGAGGCACCCACAGCCCGGGGCACGGACCCGCCACGGCACGGGCTCCAGGAGGGACAATCCAGAGCAGGGCTGGGGCTTCCAGGGAGTCCAGGAGGACTCTGAGGGGGCTGAGGGAACCAGGGCAGGGATGGAGAGGGGCAGGGCCCGGGAATACCTGACTTTGCAGAAGAGCTGCCGCCGCTCCAGCCACACGTAGCGCATTCCCTGGAACAGGTAATACCTCAGGATGTTCTTCTGAGCCCGCAGGGACGGAAAAGAGAAGGTGTTGGTGGGGCTTTAGGGTGGCCCACGGGAAGGGAGAGGGTTCCTGGCGGTGTGGGAAGGTCCCAGGCATCACCTCCTCCTTCTGGTGGAGCCGGATGGTGTCCCTGCTCTCCTCCTCCTCCGACACTCCGATGGCGATGCTGCTCCTCCGGTCCTCCGGCCGCGCCCCGGGGTGCTGCTCCAGGCTGGCCAGGGGGACTGAGGCTCAGCCCTGCCCAGCCAGCCCCTCCCCCAGAGCCCCCTGAGCCCGTGGCAGGGCCAGCCCCGCTCACCTGGCCTCGCCCAGCGGCTCCAGCAGCACCCGCGTGGTGAAGCACTGCCCAAAGTGGTCCTGGAACACAGGCACGGGTGGGAAGGGACACCGGGACATCCCTGCTCAGCCCACAGGGAAGGCAGGGAGGCCCTGGCCACCCATCCCAGGGGATGGAAGGGTGGGTCTGGGGATAGTGAAGGGAGATTCAAGGCCCGGTTGGCTGGCAGGGAAGGGGAAAGTGCAGACTAAGGACTAGGAATTATTCCTGGATTAACAGGATAGTATCGTTATTAGTAATAATCAAACAATGATATTATATAATAAATATGCTACATAACATATATTTATGTATTACTAATACTGACAGCAATATAAAATATAATGGCAACATGATGAGAATATTTTTATGTATAATGATGAAAATACGATCATGATGATAATAATTTGCTAATAAAAATTCCTGGAACAACTTGGTGCTGGGGCACCCTGATGGAAGCTGGGGTCCCCTGATGGAAGGAGATGCCAGACACGGAGAGGGTGACCAGCAGCAAGGACCATTCCCAGGACCCTGCTGGGAGCCCAAGCCCAGATCCATGGGATCCCAGCACAGAGAAGGTTGGAAGGAGCAGAGCTGGGACCCGCAGGACTCACCCTGATGATGACCCAGTCGGCCTGGCCCAGGGCACAGGGTTTGCACTTGGCCTGCACTTCCAGGCTGGGCTTCCAGTGGAACAGGAGCAGGAGCAGCCCCGCGGTGAGCACGGAGCCCACGTGGCACAGCAGCACCCGCCACGGGCGGCTCTGGTACCCCGACACCTCCTGCAAGAGAGTGCCCACCTGGGCCTGCCTGGCCACGACAGCAGCTCAGATTAACACTGTCAGGCATTAAACCCCAAATCCAGACAGGTCCTGGCTCAGAAAATCAACTCAAATTAACATTATCAGCCATTAAACCCCAAATTGATAAAATCCTCGAGCTTCCCAGCGGGATTTAACCCCAGGCAGGTGACATCCAACACCTCTGAGGGTGGAAAACCACCGCCTGGTGCTGGTGTTGTGGAAAGCACAGGGGTTTTGTGCCATCCCGAGCCTTCCTTCCCCTGGAGAATCCCCCAGACCTACCATGTGGGATGGATCCGGCTGCAGCGTCCCGTAGCCCGGCCGTTGGCTCCCCAGCAGCCTGCTGGTGTCTGCAAATCCCAGAAAAACAGGGAAAAGGGTTAACGAGAGGGGATCCAGCCTGGTCACCGGCTCCCAAGCAGCCTGCTGTGTGCAAATCACCCTCAAAATAGGGAAAATGGATAAGGGGAGGTGATCCCGGGGTTATTCCTGAGATGCCATCCCTGGCTCATCCCAAAGGCGGCTGGACCTGGCGGCTCCCGGACACGCAGCCCGGGATGCTGCGGGAAAGGGACACCCCGCGCTGCCCCCGGCACCCTCCGGCCGCACGTGACGGTCACGGGAAGGAGCCCCGGGAGGGAACCTGGCGGGATCCCAGCGGCTTTCGGGAGCGGGGCTGGGACGCGGCCAGGCCGAGCTTTCCAAGCCGCTTTTCACGCTCCTCTGCTCCCTGCGCCACAAAATCCGCCAGTGCCCAGCGCTCGGCACCTCCGCTTCCTGCCGGGCACCCCCGCGGCCATCCCAGGCGGAATTTCAACCCTCACCCTCTGGGACGTGAAGCTGAACCTGCTTATCCTCTAAATCCACATCAGATGACAAGTCCTGGCATTCCCAACTCCAGGATCTCTGTTTACTCCCTAAATCCACGCTGGATTACAAGTCATGACATTCCCAACTCCAGGATCTTTGTTAACCGCCTAAATCCGCGATGCATTACAAACCCTGGCATTCCCAGCTCCGGGATCTCTGGTTATCCCCTAAATCCACACCTGATTCCAAATCGTGGCATTCCCAACTCCAGGATCCAATCCACACCTGATTCCAAATCATGACATTCCCAACTCCAGGATGTTTGCTCATCCTCTAAACCCACACCTGAGCACAAATCACGGCATTCCCAACTCCAGGATCTTAAAGCAGCCGCGGGATGATAACACGTGGCACAAACACCAAGCCGGGAGTTTGTTCCCACTCTTTGAAGGCGCCGGGAATTCCCTGCCCGGGCCGGGTCTGGGTTTCAGGAGCGCACTGAGCCCGGCTTAACCATTTCTGCGCCGGGGGGGAGCCCGGACATCCGTTCCCTGCTGGAAAAGCCACTCCGGCGGGATTCCTGCCGCTCCCTGTCTGATCCCAGAGCTCGTCGGCAGGTGCCAGAAGCAATTCATTCAGAGCATTCCCCGGTTTTGAGGATCACCCGGGTCCGTCTCACCAGCTCCCGAATCGCAGCAGGGGCCGCTCCAAGGGAGAAGTTTTGGGATGAGGAACTGGGGGATGAGCCCGAGGGAAACCAAAAGCTCTCCCGGGAGCCAAAAAACCGACGGAGGGATCCCCCTGCCGCATTCCAGGTTTAAGGAAGGCGGGAGCGGGCCAGGAGGAGCCGGAGCCGCCCTTCCCAAGGGCAGGACAAAGGACAGGGCGAGGGGGGGCCTCGCCAAAGGCTTTTCCCGAGGGGAAAAGTATCCAAACAAGCCGAAAACAACCCAATTCGCTACCCGCGCATTCCCGGGGCAGGATGGGAAGCGGGAAGCCCGGCCCATCCCTCTCCTGGAGCAGCAGCAGAATCATTCCGGCTTCCTCGGATCCTCAAAGCAGGGAATCTCCCGGAGGAGCAGAGCTCGGCCGGCCCCGCTCCCGTGGATTTCTCACCTCCCGCTCCCATCCCGGCTGCTTCCCGAGCCTCGGCGCGCTCCGAGGGCTCATCCCAGCGGAGCTGCTCCCGCCCGGGCTGGCATCTGGGATCCATAGGGTCGGCATCACCTGCCCACGTGGCCGGGAAGCCTCCGGAGGGGCGGGAGCTGCGCGAGCGCCTGGAATCGCGGCCACACCTGGTGGGCAAACAGGAGCCGGGACAGCGGGACGGGCCCGCGACCGCTCCAGGGGCTTCTCCCGCAGCCCCGGCAGAGATCGGCCTCCCTCTCTGCTGGGAAAGGGGGATCCGGAGCGGGATAACGGCCAGGAGAGGCTGGAGATCCTCGGGAAGGTCAGAGATGCACCAGCCCGGCTTGTCCAGGGAAAAGGGGAGCCGAGGATCGGCACTGACGCTGGATTTGCACAAAAATCCCACTGGGAATCCTCCCAGCTGCCTGGCTCCGAGTCCATGCTCTGTCCTGCACCTTCACCACGTGTTCCTGCAGGCAGGGGATGGGGAAAATGTGGGATGAAGATGGTCGGGATGCTCCCACATTGCCCACATGGCCTGGCAGGGAGGATGAACACTCTGACTCCGGAATGTGGAGCTGGAACCTGGAGCCCACTGGAACCCACGGGCCTTGTAGCTGGGAATCCCCTCTGGAGCAGCCCCAGCCTGGCTGGGAAGCGGCTGGGAATGCCAGTGCCAGTCCTTGTCCCGGGATTTGGCCCCAGATAGACGTGCACATGGAAAACAGGCAGATGCTGATCCCATGGACCTTGTCCCCCAGCTCCCAAGCCCCTTTCTGGAAGCAACAAATCCCAAGGGGGCTTTGAGGTCTCCCTCTGCTCCCACGGTTCCCCACAGATGGTCAGGACTTTCTGGGCAGCACCATCCACCCAACCATCCACCCCTCCATCATCTCCCATCCATCCATCCCTCCATCCATCTCCATTCATCCATCCATCCATCTATCCATCCATCCATCCATCCAGGAGGTTGCACACAAGTTGAGGAAGATCCCCCCATGGAAGTCTCTGCTCCAGAGTGGGGTCTGGCTGTTGGGATGGGCTGGGCAAGGTCAACCTGTGCCCCTGGAGATGGGGACACGGAAAATCGGGATGAGGCCAAAGCAAGGAAGGAGGGATGAGGTGGGAAAACAGAGTTTGGGTCAGGAAGGGCGAGATTGGACTCCAGACAATTTTCCTGAGCAGCTCTGGGAGGAACTGGGATGAGAGGTCAGTGATTCTCCTGCCCTTTCCACTGAGCCAACATAAACTCCTCCAAGCCAACAACTCGGAGCCATCCACAGCGGGACACACCAGAGCAGACGTGTCTGCCCAGCCCACCGGCTCCTCCTGCCACGGAGCAGAGCCAGGAAAACCGCCCCAGGCTGGGATACACCAAAGGTGAGATAAGCTCCATCCAAGGGGGTCACAGAGATCAGGATCCAGACTGGAAATGCTGGGGCACTAAACCCTTGAGATGGGCCAGGGAGTAAATTCCTTGGAAGCAGCAGCCATGTCCACCTCAGACTGCTTTGGGTTTGTAGGGAAGGATCATCTGGGACGAGAAGGTGGCAGCGTTTGCTTCTCCATGTGCTGAGGCCCCAGTGATCTGACCCTTCCAACCCTTCCAGCACGGCAGGATCCTCCCCTGCCCTGACCTTCCTGGAACCCGGTTTTGCAAGAACTCTCCGGCTGCCAAAACCACCTGCCGAGCCGGAGGAAGCACCTGCCGGAACATCCTGCTTGGGCAACTGCTGGCAGAGGGGGGAGGGAAGGGGTTCAGACCCAAATCCAGCCTTTCCCCCAAACGGGTTAAAAACAGGCTCCTCCATCCCCCGGGAGAGGGGGCAAAAGGGGGGAAGTTCAAACCCCTCAGGGTGGCTTTGCTGCAGATCCAGAGGAGGAGATGGAGAAGCGGGATCTGAGGGACGTGGGTGAGATGGTGGGGACAGGGACAGACGTCACCCCCCCTTCCTGCCCAGGGCTCTTCCTCCTTCAGCCCTGGAGACCCTTCCGTGTGCCAGCGGGGCCGGTTCCAAGGGAAGCGGGCAAAGGTTTCCCAGCACAGGCTGAGCCGGTTCTGCATTCCCGGGAACGAGGATCGCTGACAAGGCACGGAGCCTCCGAGGGCTTCCCATCCTCTTCCAAATGCCTGGATGCCTTTTTCCTACCCAGCATCCCCGTTCCATTCTTTGTCCATGCCAAAACCCCTGGGATTGCTCAGGAAGACAACGAGGTCCTTCCTCAAAATCCAGCCTGGCCTCTGTGGTGCCGATGGGAGACCCCGCCAGGGATGCTCCAGGATGGGCCCAGAGCATTCCCAAAATCCAGGCTGGAGCAACCTGCTGGCAGGGAAGCAGCTCCCGGTGGGCTGCAGGGATTGGGAGGTCTTGGAGCATCCCAAAGCCTGGGATTTGTTCCCCCACGGACTGATTGCTGTGTCCCACGGGCCGGAATTCCGACGGGACGCAAAGCCAAGAAGTTGTCCCTGGTTAAGTTGTGGTGTCATGGGAGCCTCTTCCAGACCCGGAGCCCACTCAGGGGGGGATCTGGGATGTGATTCCCATCAGCTCTGGCACCACCCGGATCCGAACACCCAGGGCCCCACCCGCAAATCCCATGGGAGGGAAGAGAGGGCACAGCAGGGAAAAGAGAAGGAAAAGGGAAATAAGGAAAGAAAAAAGGAAAAGAAAAATGTGAAATAAGTAAAAAAAGGCAAAGGGAGAAAAATGAAAAAGCGAAATAAAGAGAAATGAAATAAAACAAAGAAAAATTAACAAAATAAAGCAAAATAAACGAGAAATGAAGTGGGAGAAAAAGAGGAAAAACAAACTAATAAAGTGGAATAAAGAGAAATAAAAGAACAAAATACAGGAAAATAAAGGGGAATTAAAAAGCCAAATGAGGCAAGAAAATAAAGCAGAAAAATGAAGTGAAATAAAGGAAACAAAGCAAAATAAAAAAGCAAAATAGCAAAGTAAGAGACTCAAAAGGAAAAAAAAGCAGCAAAATAAAACCAAAAATGAAGCAAAATAAAATAGCAAAATAAAGGGAAATAAAGCAAAATAAAGCAGCACAAAATAAAAAGAAAAGTAAATTAAAGCAAAATAAAAAAGCCAAGTAAAGCAAAATAAAGTAAAATAAGAAACTGGTAAAGCAAAATTAAACCTCCCAAATAAAACAAAATAAAAAAAGCAAGATTAAGAAAATAAGGTAAAATAAAGCAAAATTTAAAAGCTAAATAAAAATAAGGGAAAATAAAGCAAAATATAAAAGGAAGAAGCAAAACAATAAAGTGAAGGAAAGCAAAATAAAAGGGTAAAAAGAAAATAAACCCCTCAAAATAAGGCAAAATATAAAAGCAAAATAAAGGAAAAGGAAAATAAAAAGCAAAACAAAGGAAAATAATCAAGTGAAATAAAGCAAGATATAGCAAAATACAAAAGACAGAAAACAAAATAAGAGGCCAAAAATAAAGCAAAATAAAAAATAAAGCGGAATGGGGGAAAATACTAAAGGGAAATAAAGCAAAATAAAAAAGAGAGAAAGTAAAATAAGACCACCAAAATAAAGTAAAATAAAAAGTAAAATAAAGGAAAATAATAAAGTAAAATAAAGGGAAATAATAAAGAAAATAATAATGCAAAATAAAGCAAAATAATAAAACAAAATAAAGGAAAATAAAGGGAAACAAAAAAGGGAAATAAAGCAAATAATAAAGTAAAATAAAGTAAAATAAAAAAGGGAAGTAAAGCAAATAATAAAGGAAAATAAAGGAAAATAATAAAGCTAAATAAAGGGAAAAATAAAGCGAAATAAAGCAAAACAAGGTGAAAAAGCAAAAAAAAATGAGGCCAAAAATAAAGCAAAATAAAAAAAGCAAAATATAGCAAAATTTAAAAAAAAAAAAAAAAAAGGCAAACCAGAAAGCAAATTACAGGGAAATAAACCCCGAATAAAGCAAAATACAAAGCAAATTACAGCAGAATAAAAAAGCGAACCGATGGGAAGCCCCGCTGTGCCCCCTTCCCCCCGCACATCCCCCACTCCCCCCGCGCCTGCAGCGACCCCGGGCCCCCAGAACTGCGGCGGGGGGACCCGGCCCGGCCGGGGTCCCGGGCCCCCTTTCCCCCGAGCCCCCTGACCTGAGCTCATGGCGCGGCCCCGGCCAAGGCGGAAAGGGCGGGCCTGGAGCGGCGGGAACGGCGGGACTTGTAGTCCTGCCTCCCCCAAAGCGTCTGCAACCCCAAAGCGTCTGCAACCCCAAAGCGTCTGAAACCCCAAAGCGTCTGCAACCCCAAAGCGTCTGAAGACCCACATTGCTCCCCCCCGCAAATCATCCCCCCCCAAAACGTCTGCAATCCCAAAGCATGTGCAATGCCAAATCACCCCCCTAATCATCCCCCTGCCCGCAGCGTCTGCGACCCCAAAGCGCCCACCCCCGAATCATCCGCCCCCAAATGATCCACACCCCCAAAGCGGCTGCAATCCCAAAGCATCTGCAACCCCACATCACTCCGCCCGCAAATCATCCCCTTCCAAAGTGTCTGCAATCCCAAATCACCCCCTAATCATCCCCCCCAAAGCGTCTGCAACCCCAAAGCGCCCACCCCCCGAATCAGCCACTCCCCAAATGATCCACAACCCCCAAAGCATCTGCAACCCCAAAGCATCCACCCCCTAAAATGATCCACACCCCCTAAAGCATCTGCAACCCCAAATCAGCCACACCCTAAATAAATCATGCATCCCACCAGATCATCCACACCCCCCAAATCATTCACAGACCCCAAAGCACCTGCAACCCCAAATCATCCACACCCCCAAATCATCCCCCACCCAGAGCATCCACCCCCCCTGGGCTGGCCCCAAAAACAAGGGGGGCAACCCTTCTGGGGGAGGCAGGGAGGGACAGACCACGAGGGGGGGATGAACCCCCAAAAATGCACCGGGGTCTGCCCCACAAAGGGGGTTGAACCCCAAATCTTGCAGGGAAATGGAATAGGCTCTGCCCCTCAAAAAGGGCCTTTGGACCCCAAATCTTACAGGGAAATGGACCAGGCTCTGCCCCCCAAAAAGGGGCTTTGCACCCCCACATCTTACAAGGAAACTCACTGGGCTTTGCACCCTCCCAAAGAAAAGGGGCTTTGCACCCCAAATCCTGCAGAGAAATGGGCCAGGCTCTGCCCCCCAAAAAGGGGCGTTTGAACCTCAAATGTCTCAGGGAAACACAGTGGGCTCTGTCCCCTGAGGGAGGCTCTGCACCCCCAAAAACCTCCCCCGAGACCTGGCCCAGAGAAGGAGTTTGAACCCCAAATCTTGGAGGGAAATGCACAGGGCTCTGCCCCCGAAAAAGGGGTTTTTCACCCCAAATCCTGAGGGAAATGCACAGGGCTCTGCCCCCCAGAAAGGGAGTTTTCATCCCCAAATCCTGTGGGGACTCATGTGGTGCTCTGACCCCCCAAAAAGGGGTTTTGCCCCCCACAGTTTGCAGGGAACGACCCAGGCTCTGCCCCCAGGGAGGGTTGTACCCCCAAATCCCTCCAGGAAACCCATCAGGCTCTGCCCCCCTCCCAAGTGTTTTGCCCCCATTTCTCTCCCCCCTCACAATTCCCACCTGGAAACCCCCTCTGAGGGAATTCCAAAGCCAGTACTGGGGTGCAGACCCCACAACACCCCTGGATCAGCCCCCCCACAACCACACCTTGGCTTTTAGGGGGGCTACGACTCCTGCCAAAGCACTGTCAGGAAAATCCAACTGCCCATCCCATCCCATCCCATCCCATCCCATCCCATCCCATCCCATCCCATCCCATCCCACACACCCAAACCCCATCCCAGACACAGAACTTTGGGTTCCTTGCACAGGAAGGGAGATCAATCCATTGTCTTCTCCACAGGTGAGGTGGATTTTGCCATTGGAGCAGGAAAACCTCAGGCAGGGCAGCGAGAGGCTTCGGATTCCGCTGTGTTTCCACCCGAATATTCCCAGGAAACAGGCCTGGATTCGAAATGAAGGCGGCAAAAACCAGTTCATTTTGTCCCAAAAAAACAGTGGGAGAGGACAAGGGGGTATCACAGCTCTTTTTATCCGAGCTGTTGATGAGCAGCTCCTTGGATGTGAGCAGGGAATTGGGATCATGGAGTGCAGGGATGAGAAATAATCACAATATTATATCATTACAACGATAAAGTCTCATTCTAATGGGATTAACAGCATCTTCCTGGGGGATTCCCCATCCCAGGAGCCACGTGCAGGACCAGCACAGACCCAGCTTACCCCGAGACACAGAAATTTGGGATAATTCAACCTGGATTTTCAGTGGGAAATCTCCGCCTTCCACGTCCCACACCAGCCCTCAGGAATGAAACCCTCGGGCCCAGGGAAAAGAAAGTGCAAATGAAAACAGAAACACCAGGTTGGTTTCTGGAGGCAGGAATGAGCTCTTAGAGGATAAAAAACACATGGAAAAACCAGCAGAATTTCTGGGATTGGTCTGTCCCACCTCAGTCCTCCTTTCCTGCCTCCTGGCAGTGTCCTGGTGGACATTCCCAAGAGGTTTCACTACATTTAGGCCAAAACCTCATCGATTAAACAGCAGAGCTGGACCCTCCCAGGACAGCAAACAATTCCATTCTTTCCTGGTCCTTCCCAGGAGGGCAAGGAATTCCATTCTCTCCTGGACCCTCCCAGGAGTGCAAACAAAGAGCTGCTCTGAGCGACAAACCCACCCAAATGTCCCCAGTGTGAGAAAAGTGGAGGTAAAACCACACTTGTGTGAGAGAAAACAGAGAGGTTCAGCCCTAATAAATCCCATTTCATTAGGACTTGGAATAAAAATTCCTTAGGACTTGGAACAGAAAGCTCCTTAGGACTTGGATTAAAGATGGGGATCCCAGCAGGGTGGTGACAGACGCCTTGTTCCCAAGGGATTTTATCCCATGTCAGCTTCTGATCCTCACTTTGCTCCTCCCTTTGGGATTTCAGAACCAGGATTGCTCCACCATTCCCTTTTCCCAGCCAATTCCATTCTTTCCTGGACCTTCCCAGGATGAAAAGAGCTGCTCTAAGCAACAAGCCTACCACAACTATCCCAAATTTGAGAAACTTGGGGTAAAACCACACTTGTGTGAGAGAAAAGAAAGAGATTCAACCCTAATAAATCCCATTTCATTAGGACTTGGAGCGAAAACTCCTTAGGACTTGGAATAAAGTTCAGGATCCCAGCAAGGTGGTGACAGAACTCCTCGTTCCCAGTGGAGCTGCCTCTGGGATTTTATCCCATGTCAGCTCCTGATCCTCCCTTTGGAATTTCAGAACCAGGATTCCTCCACCATTCCCTTTTCCCAGCCAATTCCATCCTTTCCAGAGCCACCCCAGCTCCTCCAAACCCCCCCTGCCCTTGGGGAGGTTTAGGATTCCACAGCATCATTCCATAATAAACCACCAGCTCTGAACTGTTCTTTCCAGTCTTTATTGGAAGTGCAAACCTCTGGGAAGAACAGCTCCCTGCTTGAAGCTCCTCCAGGTGTAAGTTGTGTCCGGGTGGAGCCCCTGTGGGGTTCCAGGGGGGATCCACGTGGGAATCCAGGGAGGTCCCACGAGGGGATCCACGGAGGTTACGCAGCCGTCGCCTTCTGCTTGTAGGTTGCCATCATCTTCTTGATCTCAGCAATGGCCTTGCCAGGGTTCAAACCCTAAAGGGAGGAGCTGGTTAGTTCCTCTGGAAAACCTGGAGCATCGTCCCATCCTCCCTCCCCCTCATGCAGGTGGCAGTAAACTCCCAAACACGCCACCAATGTGCTGCTACTCAGAAGCCTTTGGCAAAGGAGTTGCTCAACCACCTTTTTTATCCCTAAGAGCTGGAGGAAAATGTGATGTCGTGCTTCCTTTCAACCACTGGGAGGTTCCAGGATGGATCCCAACTCCCAAATGTGCTGCTGCTCATGAAAAGAGCTGGCAGAGGAGCTGCTCAGCCCCTCTTTGCCCCAAAGCCTGGACTCCAGCCTAACTTAGGCTCCACCTGCAAAGCTGGTTGAGGAGGTTCAGGACACACCAAGGGCCAGCTGGGACACTGCCCCAGGCAGGCTGGGCATTCCAGGGAGGTCAGGCTGTGCTGACCCAGCTCTGCTCCACTCCAGCCTCTGTTTCCATGGAGCAGCCTGGAGCAGAGCTGGGAGCTCCCCTGGAGCAGCAGCACCTCCCTGGGCCTGGACACAAACACCCTCTCGGCTCTGGAGCTGGCTTTGGTCAGCACTGCCGGGATCAAAGGGGACAAGGAGCCAAAGGGACTTCAAAGAAGCTCAAGCAGGACTGAATTCCACATTTTTATGGGACTCCTGGAGGCAGGCTTGGAGCAGCCTGGCAGGGATGGCATGAGGGAGGTGGAATTGTGAAATAAAAGCTGGGTGTGGAGGCACTGGGGGGGTGAACAAGGTCAGGGCACAGCATGGAAATGCTCCAGCTGAGCTTTCCAAAGGTTCTCCTACAAAACAGGCACCCTTCACATTGCAAAGTCCTGCAGCACTGGTGTCAAAGCAAGCAATCCTAAGCCCAAAATGAGAGGGGGATCCTGTGTGGGACAGGGAATGAGCAGGAATTACCCCTGGTGCAGATCCCACCAGGTCTTCCACGCTGATCAAGCCAGCCAGGATTAGGGAATGTGAGTGGGAACGTGTTATTACCCATAAATCTGCCTCACATTTCAGCCCAAGTGCTGTTTCCCTACATTCCTACAAACAGCCAGGTCTTGGGTTTCACCTTCCCCTTTAGCTGAGCTCTGGGTCACACCAGATGATGAGCCAGCTCCCTAAAAAGGGAGGAATTATGGGCTGTCAGGGAACCACTCTGGAAAAATACCCCCCCAACTGAGCCTGCAGTGCTCCTGACAGACACACCCACCCAGATCCCAGGCATCTCATCTTCCCCACACTTGTGATCCACTCAAACACTTCCTGTCATTCCATAGCCCCAGGAATGACTCCACCACCAGGTGCAGGGAAAGGTTGTCTGGAAACCAGCAGAGCTGCTGGGAAAGCAGAACTCCATCAGCAGGGTCAGATGGGATGTTGGGAAGGAATCCTTCCCTGGGAGGGTGGGCAGGCCCTGGCACAGGCTGCCCAGACAATCTGTGGTTGCCCCAGCCTTGGAAGTGTCCAGGGATGCTGCTGGAGCAACCTGGGCTGGTGGAAGTGTCCCTGCCCGTGGCAGGGGTGGGATGGGATGAATTTAAGGTCCCTGCCAAGCCAAGCCGTGTCAGGACTGCCCCTGAGGACACACACCCACCTTGGGGCAGGTCCTGGTGCAGTTCATGATGGTGTGACAGCGGTAGAGGGAGAAGGGGTCCTGCAGCTGTGCCAGCCGCTCCTCCGTGTAGTCGTCCCTGGAGTCGATCATCCAGCGATAGGCCTGGAAAACACAGGCACTCACACACCAGGAGGTTCCAACCACCTCACACAGGAATTCTGGGCCAGGGTGGGATTAACACCCTCTGCAAACACGTACTGGGGCCAGAGGGACCCCCTCACCTGCATGAGGACAGCGGGGCCCAGGTACTTGTCCCCGTTCCACCAGTAGCTGGGACAGCTGGTGCTGCAGCAGGCACAGAGGATGCACTCGTAGAGCCCGTCCTGGGGGGGCACAGCACACTCAGTCCCTGCAGGAACTGCTCCCAGGGGCACTGCCCCAGCACGGGCCTCCCTCTGGAATCGGCACACGAACCTTCCCAGGGGGCAAGTGCTGCTGGAGCAAAGCAACTGAAACAAGTCACACAAAATGCCCCCAGCCTGGCCCAGGACCCCCAGCTCGGGGCCAGCAGGTGGGATTTGATGGTCCTTGCAGGTCCCTCCCAACTCAGGACATTCTGATCTCACGCCCCACAGAACACAGCAGTGTTTGTGACAACAGGGGGAAATGTGGGACCCGGAGAAAAATGTGGAAGTTGCTGGATTTTCCTGCATTCCCTCCTTCCTTCCAGCCTGTCCCAGCGAGGGAAGGGACAGGCAGGTCACCAGTTAACAATTCAGGGCTGTGTTAGAGAGAGAAGGAAGAGCAAAGTCTGCCCAGCAGCCTCTGGGAGAGCTCGGAGCTTGTCCCTGAGAGCATCCCCAGGCACGGGAACAGTGCCAGGCTGCAGCCATCACCCCATTTTTACACACAACAAGGGCTTTTTCTTTCAGGCACAGAGGAACACAGAAGTCATTCAGGTACTTTTTAGTTTTGCTTATTTCTGATTAAGAAAAAAAAAATCAGTCTAGACAGAACAGAAATTGAGGAGCTGAGGGTCTCCAAAGTCTCTTGGCAGCTCCTCAAGCCCCCCAAACTAAAAGACAAGAGTCCAACCTAACTTCATTAAAGTATCTCAAAGTTATTCTGGAAAAAAAGGCTCCTTAAATTCGGTTTTGGAAGATCCCTGATGCTGGAACTCCCAGCAGCTCAGAACAAGCCTTTGGAAGGCCTTGCCAAGAGGTAGGTCAGAGTTACCGCCCCCCTCCAAATTTGTCTCATTTCTAATTGCACCATTTCGTAGGATTTACAGAAAAAGATAGAATTTTCCAGCTGGCACCTTATCCAAGTTTGTCCTGCACACAAAGGAAGAGCAAGCTCAGCACTGAGATGAAAAGCAGGTTCCCCAGCTGTGCCAGGGGCTGAGGCAGCTCTGCCCTCCCTTCCAGCTTCCCTTCGTTCTCCTTGGATGAGAAAGGGATTCCAAGGAGAGGGCAAACCTCTTCAGTCCTTACACACGGATCAGATAATGCTGGGAAGTGGTGAAGGAGAAGGAATTGTTGCCTTTGGATAGAGATTCTTTCCCCCTGTGGTTGTTCAGATGTCACAGTCACTGTCGACATCTGGGACTGGGCTATTATGGGATGTCACTGCAGACACACACAGTGGGATCCTCCCAGAGATCTCTGCAGCTCAGGTTCTGCACTGAATCCCCTTTAACCAGCCTCCCTTTTGGCTGTTCACATCCACCTCTGCTTTCCCAAAACCCAGGCCTGGAGCCTCCTCAGTGACAGCACCACTGTGGAGCAGCTTGAGCTGCTGGATCATGGAATGATGGATCCATCAGGGCAGCTCAGAGGGGAAAAACCTGCTGATTTCCTGATACTGACTGTGGCAGCCAAGGAACCCACCCCAAAACTCACCACACTCTCAGCTTTTTAAAAAGCTCTTATGGCCCAGCTGTTCCTCAGACACCCTTCAGTTTCCTGGAGAAATTCTGGATCAGCACCACCAAAAACATCCCCTCAAAACAACTCTCTGCTCAAGACAGACACCCAGAAACCTGCCCTCACGCTTGTGCCTCCACATCCAAAAGCACTTGGCTTTTGCCACGGGTTTTCCAGGTTGTAAATCCCAGCAAGCAGCAGCATGAGGGCTCTGGGTCCCCACAGCAGAGGGTGTCAGTGGCAATGAGATCACAGTGCCTGGGGCAGCCACAGCTCCCTCTCCTGAGCCAACCCCCTCCCCTGGGGGCAGGTCCCACCCCCGCCAGGCTGCAGCAGCCCTGTGCAATTGGAACCTGCTGCACAGTAAGGTTTAAGCCTGGTCTTATCTGGGAGGGGATTTAAGGGTGGAAAAGGAAGCAGTGACCAGTTTCTGACGGTCTTCTATGGACTGCAGGTACTGCTGCTTGCCCTCCTTGGACTTGTCCTTCTTCTTCAGGTACGGCTCGATGGATTTGTACTGGGCGTAGAAGTTGCTCAGGTCCTGCAGCCACAGAGCAGAGAGGTCACATTTACTGAGCTGAATTTTACACAGTTACAGAACACCCTGAGCTGGAAGGGACCCCCAAGGACTGAGTCCAACTCCTGACCCCCAACAATCCCTCCCTGTCCCTCAGAGCGTTGTCCAAACCCTCCTGAAGCTCTGGCAGCCTCGGGGCTGTGACACTGCCCTGGGGAGCCTGTTCAGTGCCAACCACCCTCTGGGGGAAGAACCTTTCCAGAGATCCCCTCTAATCCTCCCCTGGCAGAGCCTCCTGTCACACCAGACCAAATTTATGCAGCAGACATCCAGCCCCTGCCCCACTCCAACAAAAGGTGGCATTTCCGACCTCAACCTGCCACATTCCTCCCAGTGAGGACACATTTAGTCACTGCAGACCCACCCAAAAACCAGCAGCACGAGGAACACGTGAAATGTGAGACCTGATCTTGGCTGGCACCTCCCAGGGCCATCCTTCCCACCCCAACCTGCCTGGAATGCTGCCATCCATGGTCCCCAGCCCACACTCACCGGGACAAGGTCCTTCACCACGTACATGTGGGGCAGAGGGTAGATTTTGGTGACCTTGCTGAGATCAGAGTCGATTTTTTTGATGCAGGCCAGCGTGTTCCCCCCTCCAATGTTCATGGCACAGGAGCCACAGATGCCTGAGTGGGAGAAAAGCAGCAAAGGGTTAAATTTACCCTCTTAAAGAAGATCCTCTTGGCCCCAAACATGGCCCTGGGCTGTCCTGCAGAAACTCTACGTGAGAAGGAACACGCAGGAGTTGCCACCGGGCCAAACATGTTTTTACTTAAATAAAGACCAAACGCAGGAGTCGCTTTCATCAAAGCCCAAACACATTCTCAGTGGTGAAGCTCCTTCCACAACACAAAACAAGTGGCTTGGACACCTCATGGCTTTCAAATCATTCATTAGTTGTGAGTTTTTCGGGAGGGGAGAACACTGAGTTTTGCTTAGAGGTCTGAAGCACGAGGTTGTGTCGGTGTGAGGCAGCTAAAAATAAGATTATAACGTGGGCAACTGATGCATCTTCATCAGTTATGGAATTACAGGATTGCTGGGGTGGAAGGGGCCTCTGGAGATCATCCAGGCCAACTGCCTGCCAAGGCAAGGTCACCTGGAGCAGGTGACACAGGAATGGGTTTGGAATGTCTCTGGAGAGGGAGACTCCAGGCCCTCCCTGGGCAGCTCTGCCACCTTCCACCGAAAGGATTTCTTCCAGATGTTCAGGTGCAACTTCTGGTACTTCAGTTTATGGCCACTGCTCCTCATCCTGTCGTGGGGCACCCTGGGAAGAGTCTGGCACTGTCCTCCTGGAGATGTTTTTATACGGATTGTATGGATTTATATGAGATCCCCTCTCAGTCTTCTCCTCTCTGGACCAACCAGGCTCAGCTCCTGCAGTCCCTCCTCATCAGAGAGGAGAAAACTGGTCAACAGCACCCCTGACAATCAGGACTATTCACCCAAATCCCTAAGGCAGGAAGTTTTTTGGTGCCTGTGCAGAGCAGTGCCAGGAGCTGCCAAAGGAGAGGGGACAGACCCTGCCCAGAACCAGCAGCATAAAACAGCCTAATAAATAGATTAATTGACACCCCTAACGACCTCCAGCAACAACAGGATCAGCTGAAGCCTGGGAAAGCCAAGATTTACAGGAAAACCAGTGCAGAAGTGTCCCAGATACTCCTCCTGTGAGAAGGGGCCAAACCCTGGAAGGGCAAAACTCGAATTCCAGAGGATCTGAGCCATCCCAGCTGATGTGAGCCCAGGGATGGCACTGACAGCCAGCCCTGCTGCCAGGTTCCCCTGGCACTGCACCAAGGCTCTGCCTCCCACTGCAGAAACAGTGACAAGTATTTTCCAGCCAGGGCTGCAGACTCAGGACCACGTGCTCCCAGCAGGAATGTGGGAGCAGGGCTGTTTTTTGCCCTGCATGGCAGGAAAGGGGCAAGATCAAACCAGCCCAGCTTGAAAATCTGTCTTCTCCAAGGAAAGTATTCAGGGCAATGAATTCCAGCTCGGGAATCTTTTGGCTATCTAAATATCAGACAGTGAGAGCAAGCATTCCCCGTGGAATTCTTCCACCTGCTATGCAGATTCCAGAGGAAAGGGCTGCGCTGGAGCTTTTCATTTCCACCCAAGTCAAAACATCTTCAGGCAGCAACTGGCCTTAAACTTCTCCTCCTTGCAAACCCACCTCATTAAATCCAAAGCCGTTCCACAAAGGAATGTGTTTCACAAGCAGCCTCCCTCCCTGCTTTCCCACAGCTCAGCATCCCAGCGTGACCCAGGAACCAGGAGGTTTTTTACAGGGAAAGTCACCCCGACAGGGAAGTTTTAATGCTGATTTGTACCTGCAGGAGAAGCAGCCACCACATAAAACCACTGGCTGCCCTTTTCCTCAATCAATCCCTGGGCTTAGTCAAAGGGCCAAAAAAAAGATTCCTGAAGCTATTCCTAGAAGTCCTAAGTACTCTTCCAGTTACAGCCTGTCTTATTTCCACAGCAGCACCCAAACAGCCCCTACAACTCCTTCCCATCCCGCCTCTGCCCCCTCAGTCTGGCTGCTGCAATCTCTCCCTGGATTTGCCCACACAGCCCAGCACTGGAGGGCAGGAAGATGAACCGGGACAGGAGAGAAACTGGAACAACTGGGGCTGCTGGGAGGCAGTCCTGGCTGAGCTGGGTGATTACACCCTCTGAGCACGAGCTCTGACTTTACTACTCCATTCACTGAGCTCTTTCCTACACACAGGTGGGAGAGCAGAGTTTTCCAGAGGTTACACAGCCACTCTCAGCACCAAACAGTGTTCCAGGCTGGAAGATCCCTCTTACCTTCCCTGCAGGACCTGCGGAAGGTCAGGGTGGAGTCCATCTCGTTTTTAATCTTGATCAGAGCATCAAGCACCATGGGCCCACACCTAAACCAGAAAACAGGGTCAGTTCATCTGGATAATCCCCCCAAACTCAGGATTTGGAGCAACTACAATTAATGCACGTTTTTTGGCAATCACAGGCAATACAACAGAGATTTCCTAATGAGGGTGGGAGTCAAACCCTTCCTTCTGCCGATGCCCTGAAGGCTCAGACAGCACAACTCAATCCCTTGTAGGGGTGAGTGCTTTGTACTGGTTCTCTCTGCTTTTGGGTCAGGCTTTAACAAGTCAGTCTGTCCCCATTAGTCACAGGAGACACACAACACCAAACAGTCGTGGACAACTTATGTAATTTTCTCTACAGCAGACAGGGCAACACCCAGAAATTATCCACAAAAATCCGAGTCCTCTGTCACGGGGTTTTTAAGGAGGGGCTGGGGAAGTTGTGTGTGGAACTCCTGGAAAGGGCTCGGGGTGAATTCCTGGGGCAGGAGCACAGCACCAGCTGCAGCTCAGGGAAATGCAGGACGTGTCCACGAGAAGGTTTCTGCACCACAGGGAATCTGAACCCCTTCCCAGAATCCCAGAGAAGCAGGAGCTGTCTTGGGGATACCACAGCAAAGTGTGCAGGTGGTTCCTTCCTGTGCCAGGGCCTGCTCACCCTCACAGCCAGGAATTCCTTCCCAATCTCCCACCTAAGTCTCTCCCCTTTAGTTCAAAGCCACATCCCCCTGTGGGATCACCTGCCCATGTAAAAAACCTGCTCTCCCTCTTTTTTAGAAGTCCCCAAAGCTTTCCACATAAATGAAGTTTATTGAAGTCTTCAACACAACTCAGAGACAAAGACAGAACCTCACGAAAGACCCAAAACAAAGTGACCATTCCCTGCTGGGACACTGGCACTCAGGGCACAGTTTATTTGTCACAGACAGGTGAGGGAGTGACAAACAACCCCACAAAACCACAGTAAAATCTGCTATATAACTGATTATATTATCAGGGAATTTGTATTCATTATATTAAAAATACATATTTTTAAAAATGTTATATGATATATTATATAATTACGTAGAAATATATTATATAATTATACATAAATACATAATATGTTCTATAATTTTATAGAAATATAAAACACATTATATAATTTTAGAGAAATCTATTCTATTCTATAAAATTTCACAGAAATATAAAATACACGATGTAATTTTAGGGAAATCTATTCTATATTATAAAATTTCATAGAAATATAAAATACATTACATAATTTTAGAGCAATCTATTGTATTCTATAAAATTTCATAGAAATATTAAATACATGATATAATTTTAGAGCAATCTATTGTATTCTATAAAATTTCATAGAAATATGAAATACATGATATAATTTTAGAAAAATCTATTCTATTCTATAAAATTTCATGGAAATATGAAATACATAATATAACTTTAGAGAAGTCTATTCTATATCATAAAATTTCATAGAAATATAAAATACCTGATATAATTTTAGAGATATCTATTCTATATTATAAAATTTAATAGAAACATATCTTAAAACATTAAAATATATAACCCCCAAAACACATTAATTATATATTACCAATAAATTATCTGCAAGAACAAAATTATTGTCCCTTAATCACCGAAATTTATTCCCTTATCAGGAGATACCATCAGTGTCCCCTGTGCTGAAGAGCTGCTCTGGAACAACGGAGCAGCACTTTCCAAGCTTTTACCACTCCCCGGAGCTCAGTGAGCTGCTGACACTTTTAGCACCTGGAAAGAGCTCTTCCCGCAGGGAATACTCACTTGTTGAGGTCCACCTCGTAGGTCTGCATGCGGGGTTTGTCCCCGGCCTTGTCGGGGTCCCATCTGTAGATGGCGAATTTCTTGAGGCGCGGCGCGGCCGCCGCCGCCGTCTGGGCCCCCCGGCACTCCTGGATCCGCGGGGACAACTGCCCTCAGCTCCCTGCACGGGGAGCAGGGGCACAGCAGGCAGCACTGCTTTGTGTTTGGGGGTTTGGAGAGGGTTGGGAACATCCTGACACGGATTTGGGGGAGTGGTGGAACCTGGTGGTGCAACCCCCCCCGTCTGTCCCGGGGCTCCCTCCTGCACGGGGCACTCAGATAATCCTGGAATTAAGGGGCTCCCACAGGTGTTCCTGCAGGCACCGTGGCCTTTAATCCCTGAAGGCTCTCCCTGCCCCCACATCATCACCTCCAGCAGTTCCTAAACACTCCCCACCCAGCTCCAGGCCATCAAACCACCTCCTCCCGCTATTCCCCCAGGCAGCTTCTTGCTCCTCCAGGCCACCTTCCCATCTCACTTCTCCCTAAATTACCCCACATCCCTATTCCTCCTGTTCCCGCGCCTCTTCTCAACTCCCTTCTGGTGCATTTTCCCCCCCTCCCACTTTCCTATCAACCTTTATCTCTCCCTAAACCATTCCCAGACCCCTTCCTGTTTCTCTTTGCCCCCGGACCCTCCTCAGCATCCCCCTCACTAATCCTCTTCCCCCCCAGCTCACCCCCCTTTTCCCACCCGCTCTTCCCACCTTTTAGCTGATCCTGGCCCCCCTCCTGCCCCACAGCCCCTGCCCCTTCTCCCACCCCTTCCCTCCTGCCCACCCCAACTCCACACATTCCCCCAACTCCCTCTGCCCTCTTCCCATCTTTACCGCATCCCGACCCCCTCCTGCCCACAGCCCCCTCCCTCCATCCCCTCTCCCACCCTCACCTCCTTCCCTCCTGCCTATTCCCAAATCCCGCATGCCCCCTCAGCCGCCCCCATCTCCCTCCACACTGCCCCCAGCCCCCCCTCTGCCCTCTCTCGCTCCTCCCCGTGCCCCCCCGGGTCCCCAGCGCCCTCACCGCCCGCGGCCCGGCCCGCAGGAGCCGTGTGGGGACGCGGTGCCTCAAGGAGACTCCGAGAGCGGCCGCCGCCATCTTGGCGCTGCGCAGTTCCGAGCCCGCCGGAAGTGACCCCGGCGCCGCCATGTTGTGCGCTGAGGGGGGAGGCGGGCGCCCCTCCGCCATCTTGGGCGCGGCGGCGGCCTCAGGGCGGGCGCCATGTTGAGTGTGGCGCGCCCTGCGGTACAAAGCGGGGTGGCGGGGCCGGGACGCCGAAATCCCCCTGTTTTTTTGTGTGTGAATCCCACAAAAGTGACCCCTTGTTTTTCTAATCGTTGATTCCCAGCCTCATTGCTTTTGCACCGAGGTGCCCACACCCTCCCCTCACGCCCCAACACCAAGCGGGGCAGAATGGCGGGTGCGGGGGGTTAAAGAGTGACCGAACCATTGGGTTCTCTTATTGGGGTTGGAAAAGCCCTCGCAGATCGTCGAGTCCAAGCTGCGACCGATCACCCCCTTGTCACCCAGACCACGGCAATAAGTGCCCCGTCCTTCCCTTAAACACCTTCAGGGACCGTGATTCCACCACCTCCCTGCGCAGCCCCTTACAAAACAATGCCCCCCCTCCTCTGAGGGCTTCCCTCCCTTTCTCTCACGATTGTTACCCGTTATTATTTAATTCCACGACTTTTTCCTCACAGCAAGTTTATTTATTAAGTGAATTGCGAGCGACAAATGCTGAAAAAGCCGCTGGGGGCAAAGGTGGAGGAAGGAAGAGAACAAGGAGGAGGAGGGGGAAGAAGAGCAAGAGGAAGAGGCAAAGGTCTCAGTATTGTCACCAAACAAGTTCTTTTTTAAAAAGGAGTTTATGCAGCAGTGGGGGGGAAATGCTGACAGATTTAATCCATGGAATAGATAAGGGATGACAGGCGAACTATGGGTGATGTCCATATGTTAGAGAAACAAATTAAAATTTGGGCCTTGATGTACTTTAATGCTCTCAGACCTGGGGGAGGAAGGTTAACAAAGCTGAGGAGAGAAATTTACTGTTGGGACCTGAACACCAGGAATGCAGGATTTGTAAAGCACAAAGGCACAGAAACCAGAGATGAAGGGGAAACCACCAAAGACCATTACTGAGACTTTCCCTATTTGTGAAAAAGATAATAAAAAGACAGAAAATCTGGACTAATTAGGATGAGAAGCAAGAAATCAACAACCAATAGAAGATAGAATACTAATTAATTAAGAGTAACTTGTAAACCAATGGACACCAATTTCTTCATTTGCTAAAATGTATAAATAGTTAAAAGTTTTAATAACCGATGTACATGTTTTGTGGGGTAATCCCCATGTACCTCAATGTTGATTCATGTTGACTTTCTAGCCCAACAAATGGTTAGAGGGTTTATTTCATGATTTTTGGTGAACATGGTTGTTTCTTGAACACCTCCAGGAATGGTGATTCCACCACCTTCCAAAAAGTTCTACCCTTCCAAAAAAATTTCCCCCTCACCCCGCTGAAGGCTCCCCTCCCTTTCTCACATAATTACCGCATATTATTATTCATTTTCACGCCTTTTTCCTCACAGCAAATATATTTATTAAGTGAACCACAAGCAACACACACTGAAAAAGCCACTGGGGAGGAGGGACGAGGGAGGAGGGAGAAGGAGGAGGAGGAAGAGGAGAAGGGGGTCTTGCTATGGTGTGAAGTGCCACCACTTGAAGGCGAAGGCTCGCCGCTGGACGTTGGTGCCGCAGCGGACCTCGCCGAGGCTGCCGTGGTAGGAGGCCACCTCCTCCAGGAAGCGGCAGCTCAGCCCCAGCGGCTCCAGGAGGGAGCGGATCCGTCGCTCCAGGCAGCATTCCCCCGCCGTCACGGGGCCGAAGGGTTTGGGGATGCCCAACTCCTTGGCCAGGACGATCATGGTGACCTGCAGGGTGGCACCGGGGGACATCAGCGGCGTCGTGGTTGATGATGCCCAAGGAAGGGTGTTGGTCACCCTCCTCCATCAGCCTCAGCCCTCAGCCCATCAACTCCAATTTTTGCAGCCGCCCTCCCATGGAATTCCAAATCCAACATGATTTTCCCCTTTTTTATCATCAAAAGCCACCTCACAATCACAATTGCACCGCTTGGAGAGGGGTTTTGCCTAAAACCCCACTGCAAGCAACACAAAGCCACAAAGTATTGTTAGACCTGTTGGGTGGAGATATTTCCTTTCTCTAGACAGCTGATTTTTTGGGGGATAACTCCGGGGGTTCCTCCTGGCTGACTAAGCTGATTTCTGGAGAGGACCTGAGGAGTGGGGATCCCCTCACCGTGTTGGGGAAATAGGGCACAGCTTTGCCCTGCTTGTCGAGCTTGAAGAGGGTCGGCAGGTCAATGATGTCCTCCTCCATCAATCCCAGCTCCTTCTTGAGGATATCCCTGTTCCAGTCGATGCAGCGCTGGAGGGGGTGGGGAAGGGCAGGTTGAGGGGGGACACATGTGGGCACAGTGCCCAAAACCATATCACGAAGGAGAAGAGCCAAAATTCAACACCTCCCTTATGGCTTTGGCACCATCCTGGGGCAGTTTTTGCAAGAAACATGAATTATTACCAAAAATGTCAGTTATTACCTGGACATACTGGTTCTGCTGCGCCAGGTTGTCATTGGAAAGGACCTTGTTAATGGTGACTCGTTTTGTGTCTGTCCCCGAGTACCCTGAAAATGCAACATCCCATCAAAATGAAGCCTGGCTTAGGATGGGCTACAGAGATGGATAAAGTCCCCCATATCCCAGTTTCCTGAGCTTGGAATAAGGCTGTTGGAGTCACAATTCTTAGTTTATTGGGAAACTGAGGGAGGGAAAGGTCTGCCCATTGGAAAGAGCACTGGAAAGGTCTTGTCATCCATCTTTCTGTCCACAGGAATCATTAACTGCTGAATTTCTCCAGAGCATCCACCTCCAGGATTTGGATCCACCCCCTGGCTGGGTCCTCTCAGTGACCTAAAGGGACCCGTGGAGATATGGAGACGTGCTCCCAGCCCCATCACGGATCAAAATCCCAGAGAAAGGATTCCCAAAGCGACAAAACGGTGCTAATTTGGGTAACGTGAGAGCCACCAGTTGTCCCACTCCGTGCCGGAGCTCCGCTGGCATTTGGAGATGCTCCATCCCACCAAGCAAGCATCCCCTCCACGCAGAGGGCTTTATCCCTGCCATCCCACTCGCTTCCCAAAATAGACCTTGAGGAGGCTGGGGGTGGTGGGTGGGCATCCCGTTTGCCAGCTGTGAAGGACAATGGGGTGGGAAAATATCCCCATGTGACCCCCGAGTCCTGCCTGTCCCTCCGTCCGGCTGCTCCAGCTCAGCTGGCACCAAAGCCCACCCAGAGCCACCCACTGGCCCCTTGCCTTTGAACATGGTGGCTTCTCCCTGGCCTTCCTTCTGCTTCTCCCGGAAAAGCTTGTAGCATGCAGCGGGACTGGCCATCAGCATCCGGAATTGCTGCAGGAAGGTGGAAGGAATCACCCAAAGGGAATTTTCCAGAGCCTCGGAAAAGTAAGGGACTTACTTTTGCAAAGAACGTGTGCTAAAACTCTACAAATTAGGTGTCTTTGCTGCTATTTAAAGCCTTTTTTTAATGTTTGGAGGGTTTGTGGGGAATGTAGGGGCATAAAGATTCCCTTTTTGAGTCATCCAGGTCAAGGCTTGGTTTTCCTGAGGGAAAAGTCTTGTGTCAGGGTTTCCCCGAGGGAAAAATCTGTATCACAAGCAGCAAAAACCATGACAGGGGAAAGAGAAACATTCTGGAAACACCTGGGAGAAGCTGAGCCGCTGGGAATCTTCAGGCTTGTGGATTCATATGGGAATCTTGAGGTTTAAGTTTCTTGGACTACCCGTGTGGACATTGTTTTCCTTCTGTTTGTGTTAATTCTGTTCAGATCCCTCATTCTGGGGACAAGAGTGAAACCCAAACTGCTTGGGAGTGCCAAAGAAATGAGTTTTGGGGTTTTTCCTCGAGGTGTCCTAATGGGATTAGTACCTTGGAAGAGGAACACCCAAGGGATGTGGGATTTTGGGGTACCTTTTTGTCCGCGGCGGGCACGAAGGTGAGGAACTCGTTGACGTTGCCCACAGCCAGCCAGTCAGAGTAGAGCTCCACGGGAGCCTGGACTCGCTGGGCGTGGAGGAAATCCCTCACCATCCTGGTCATCCTCCTGCCTGCGGATCTGCCAGTGAAATCCCCCAGAGTGGGAACGTGAGGATCAGGGTTTGTCTATCAATGTGTACTTGGACACCAATGGCCACCAAGGTGGAGGAGACTGAGCATGCCCACCCCTTTCACAGCCACTCAGGGAAGGTCAAATTAACCCAATTTACATGATTTTGGTGACATTTGGGGGCTCTGGTGGTTCCTTTGCTCCCAAAGACGTGTGTTCCCCATGCCTTACGTGGGGAAGCTGCTGCCGATGAGGATCCTGCCCAGGGGATACTCCTTCCCCCCCACGGACACGGGCGGACTGACCTCCAGGTTGCCGAAGGAGTCGAGGCTGGTGATGGCGTCAAAGAGGGGCTCCTTGTGCACGTACCCAAAATCGGAGCCCTGGGAAAAGAGGAATCACTGCCCTGAGTCCCTCCTGGGTAAAACCTCCCAGGTTTTATCCACCGGTGGGAGTCAGACCTGCTCCGGTGGGTAAGCACAGCAAGAGTGAGGCCTGTCCGTGGATGAGGAGAGGGGAAAGGAGAGGCAAGAGGATAAAGGTCTCTGGGTCACGGAGGCTCGGGAATAAACGGCAAAATCCAGGAGCAGAGCTGAGGTGTTGAGATCCCAGATCTCTGCTATTGCACAGCCAGCATCTAAGTGTCCACATTAGGCTAATTAGCACTAGGGCAGCCCCGGAGCGGAGCTTCTGGATGGCTCTTCCTGAGTGGGATGAACTCCAGCCCCTGAGGGTGAGTCTAAGAGCCACCCAAAGGGCTGCACGGCACTTAAATCCTGCTTAAGCCCTGATTTCCAGGTCTTAATATGTCTGGGACTGAGGGTGTCGTGCGTGCAGGGTAATTAACTCTTGGCTGGGATGTGCCAAAGCCCAAGGGGGAGATTGTGGAGTTAAA